ACGTGTGCCCATATAATACTATGTAATTGTCTGTGTGCAGACATTTATTTTATGTGACCAAAATGTGCATTTTTAGATAGATTTTACCAAACAGCGCGTCATTTCCAGATTCACGGTCGGGCTCTCCATTCCCATCCGAGATGAGGATCGTCATCCCACATGTCGCGATCGGCCTCGAGACGATCGACATGTTTACCATTTTTTATGACCGGCCTCATCCCCACTCCTCGCGGATGAGGATCATTGCTCGGTTTTTCCTGATCGCGCCCTCAGTGCCAATGTCCTTACATCACCATCGACCTTTCGGCACGGTGCGATTATCAATTTTGAAGATCGACCTCGTCCCCGCTCCTGGCAGATGAGGACCGCTGCTCGGTTCTTCCTGATCGACCCCTCAATGTCGATGTCCTTACATCACCACCGACCCTCCCGTAAGGCGCATTTATCACTTTTGAAGACCGGCCTCATCCTCGCTCCTCGCGGATGACGACCGCTGCTCGGTTTTTCCTGATCGGCTCCTCAGTGCCAATGTTCTTACATCACCACCGACCTTCTGGTAGGGTGCAATTATCACCTTTGAAGATCGCCCTCGTCCCCGCTCCTCGCAGATGAAGACCGCTACTCGGGTTTTCCTGATTGCCCCCTGAGTGCCGATGTCCTTACATCACCACCAACCTTCCGGTACGACGTAATTATCATTTTTGAAGACTGGTCTCGTCCTCACTCCTCGCGGATGAGGACCGTTGCTCTGTTTGTTCCCCTGATAAGCCTATCAATGTCGATGTCCTTACATCACCACCGACCTTCCGGTACAGTGCCATTATCATTTTTGAAGATCGGCCTCATCCCCGCTCCTCGCGGATGAGGATCGTTGCTCGGCTTTTTCCTGATCAGCCCCTTAGTGTCGATGTCCTTACATCACCACCGACCTTCCGGTACAATGCGATTATTATTTTTGAAGACCGGCCTTGATGGAGTATATGGCCCAAGTACCCCCAACCCACATACTTCCATTACTACAATCAGGCCCAATAGGCCTAAGTGGCCCAGACACAGCAAACAAGAGTCCGGGCAGTCCATGATATACAGAGTAGACCCTTCAACCCTATGCCCGAAGGCTCCATATTCAGGAAAGCGGTTATACCTGGTCCAGAAACACAACTGGGAATCAAGGCTAAAATTGCGAGCCTTCGGCATTCACAGCCTTCGGCACATGACAACCCTAAGCCCGTATAGCCGAGGGCACTACCCCCGACAAGATCTCCTCTATGCACGTTCTGAATTGCCTCATTAAATGCAGTGTCACGTGACTCACGTCCAACCACCGCATTAAATGCGGTACCACATGCTATGTCGGCGCCACCCTGGCTGAGTTGACTCTCCACCGCTGGTTACTTACCACGTGTACCCGCATTTATTGCACCTCGCATTTATGACTGCTATAAATAGCAACCACTTTTCCATTGTAAAAGATCGAACACTTTTGAGTTCATTTATTACATATAGGGGAGAGCAAACCCGACCCTACCCGATTGACCCGATCGGATATATCCAATTTTTTTGTTGGGGTCGGAAAACCCGACCCGAAATACCCAAATCCGATCTGATGCTCGTAACTCGGGACTTAAACGGGTAGCAGGTAGGGTTACCAATTATGCTACCCGACCCGCCCAAAAAACCGAACTAACGTAGTATATATACTACTTTTGAATTATTATTCATGTTCAAATATCTCAATTATTGTATGCCAATTACCATATTATGCATGTTCAAATATTCCAATTACCGTATTTGTACAACTATAATTTTGAATGTTGTATTGTTATAACTTAGAATGATATTTTGACCAATTATCATTTTATTTATCACAATATCAAATATGTCAATCACCATATATTATTATTTTACATACTCAAATATGTCGATCACCGTATTTATACAACTATTACTTTGAATGCTATTTTTTCCAATTACCATTTTGTTTATCACAATTTCAACAATAATAAATTAAAATCCAAATGGAACCGAAAACCGAATCAACCCGACCGCAACCTGAACTTCTTCAACCCGAAAAACCCGATAATTTTTTGATAGGGTAGGGTTTGAAATCATCAATCCGATACCCAAACGGGTTTACCATTTTTTAACCCGACCCGCCCGAACCGACCCGTGCTCTGCCCTAATTACAAGCATACTCTCTCTCTTACTTGTTCTGACTTTTCTCTAGATACCCCTCAACGGTATCCCCCGGATATACTATTAATCAGGCCTCATCCCCACTCCTCGCGGATGCGGACCATTGCTCGGATTTCCAAATCAGTTTCCTTAATACCAACATCTTTACACCATTCTTCTATCATGACCGGCCTCTCGCCATGACATGTTTATCACCTTGAAGACATCCTCCTACTCCGCGGAGGAGGGTCGCTGCTCGGATTTTCCGACCGCTTTCACAGCTCCATCCTCCTGCCACGACCGACCACCCTAGCACGGCGTGATAATCATTATGAGTCCCTGAGACAAAAAGGATATTAACATTAATGTGGAAAATCGAGGGGAAAATGAGAGAAAAGGAGACCAGAGCTCCTAATAAATGCCACTCCCAATTACACTGAAATGCCTTCCCCAAGGAATACGAAATGGTGCTGCAACATGGTTTAAACCTCACTTCAATCATAAGTGTGGACGAACCATTGCGAGTGGAATTGAACGGCAGGAAGATGTTGTGATTTGGAGGCGAGTCGTCATCTCAATCATAAGTATGGACGAAACGTCGATTGGATCAAACGGGGGGAAGATGCTGTGGTTTGGAGATGATTGTCCACCGACCATAAGTATGGATGAACTGTACTAAAAAACTTCGGATTGGGGAATTGAATCTGTGGTTAAAACCCTTACCTTAATCATAACTATGGCTAACCATTCCGGAATCAAGGGACAAGGGTATCGAAAGTCAAAACTGTGGTTTGGAGGTGAGTCATCATCTCAGCCATAAGTATGGACGAACCGTCGAACGAATAGAACGGGGGGGGGGGGGGGGGGAGATGTTGTGGTTTGGAGATGATATGTGAAAAATGAGGGCCGAAGGGTCCTAGGCCGGCTGGTCCTAGCCTCCTAGAGTCAAAGTCCATTGAACACCCCGCCCAAAGAGCTGGGGGTTTGGTGGCCACGTTCGCTGCGTGTGACATGCACGTTTGGACCACCCAAACACCGATAAGGCTAGTTGAACGTGTTAGTCTTCCTCGACCAACTAGTCAAAACGATCCAATCAGTCTGGGCGGTGGTATCTTAGCTGGTTCGGTTCGAGCTGGAGAATGGAGTGTCCTTTTTTCCCGATCATTTTATGCAGCACGAGCAGCTCCTTAGCACCGTCGTGTCTACATCTCGGTCGAGCTCGTCGATGCCTATTCTGGGATGGCGACCACCTTCTTATGCAGCATGAGCGGTTCTTCAGCGCCGCCGTGTCTACTTCTCGGTCGGGCTCGCCGATCCCTGTTCTAGGATGGTGACCGCCGTTTTATGCAGCACGAGCGGTTTCTCAGCGCCATCGTGTCTACTTCTCGGCCAGGCTCGTTGATCCCTATTCTGGGATGGAGACCGCCGTTTTATGCAGCATGAACGGCTCTTCAGCGCCGTCGTGTCTACTTCTCAATCGAGCTCGTCGATCCTTATTCTGGGATGGTGACCTCCGTTTTATGCAGCATGAGCGGCTCTTCAGCGTCGTTGTGTGTACTTCTCGGTCGGGCTCGTCAATCCCAATTTTGGGATGGCGACCACTGCTTTATGCAGCACGAGCGACTTCTCATCGCTGTCATGTCTACTTCTCGTTCGGGCTCGTCGATCCCTGTTTTGGGATGGCGATCGCCATTTTATGCAGCACGAGCGGCTCTTCAGCACCGTCGTGTCTAGTTCTCGGTCGCGCTCGCCTATCTCTGTTCTAGGATGGCGACCGTCGTTTTATGCAGCACGAGCGGCTCCTTAGCACCGTCATGCCCAATGCAGGGAATACACGTCACATCCCACTCATGCACGCCTTGCGCACAAGACTATTCGAAGACACAGATTCAAGGAAGACAATGAAAGGCCATGAGCAAGATTATACTTTCTCGAGCAGATTCGCACGCTCACTACTCAAGGAACTGGGGGACTTGTGTTGAGGTATACTATCCCGGTCTATTAATGTCCAGGAGCCCAACGCACCACCCTCGAGCGGGGCCCGATCCATGAGACCATATTGGCCTGTTCTGCCCACTTCGGCCCATTTGGCCCATTAAGATAGCTTTGTACCCATCCCCCTTTTCTATAAATAGGAGGAGTTCCCTCCATTTGAGGGAGGGCTTTTTCTTTCTTCCCTATGCTTACTTCTCTTCTAGATTAACTTGTAACTCCATTAATGGAAGTTTGGTACATGTGACAATGGTGAGGAGAGCATCAATAAAAGGAGAGAGTTTGGACATTAGCCTAAAAAGTTTCGTGATTTTTCCCCCTTTCGAGTTTCCACGTAAAAACAGAGAGTTCATACAGATTTATGCATTTATTACCACTTCGTGTTGGATTAAACTCAACAATACCCTTAAGGTTATTTAGGGTAGAAATCAATGTTTATTCCCTTTAAATTGTAGTAGTCCTATTTGAGCATTTTATGAAATTTTTAGTGGGCAATTTCTAAATGTATCTCCGGTCTTTTTGACGAATACGATTCTTTTTTTTTGGATGAACTGTAAATATAAGACGAATACAATTCTTTTTTTATTGACATCCGGTATATTCGATTACCCGAGACTAATCCGGAGCCTTGTGACCCTAGCCGGCAAAGGACCACAAAAAGGTAAACCAGTCTAGATTGCCCATAGCTGACCAGCTCACAGCTTGGAGAGATCACAATAATCACTCTCATTGCAGGATTGCACCAAAAAATTAAGTCCTATGAAATGACCATCTAAGCCTCCAACTAATACAAATCTTGAATTATCTTCGAGAAGTCAAAATGCATCCACCTCCTAAAAGATTTTTTTGGGACAACGAGTTCGCTGTTATTATTAGGAAGTGTGATCCGTTTGACCTGTCTCCTTCCCATTTCTAAGTGTCCTCCAAAAATTCTTTCTATTTACACACGCAGCGTCTATCCAATTATTTGCAATGCTCTTCTTCCTCATCCACATATATCCAACTCACTGTATCTTCTGCATATACACCTTCTAGCTCTTACCGCCAAACTCCACTCTCTCCACACTCGTCAAAGCTTTATCATTTTCCAGGTTATATAGCACCTGAACATGTAATTGTAGTTGTTTTTGTTTTTGCTTAGTGCTCCGCCTGCATTTTCGATCCCTTGTCGCTTCTCTAATCAGTGAAATGGGTTCATTTTATGTATTACTGTTGAATTTAATTTTCCGTTCAGCTATCTTCTTGTTGAAATATTCGACTTGGAAAAAACCTTTCATGTCGTTTTCTGAACTAGCAGATCTCTAATTCGGGTTTGATACCGACGTTTCTACTACTTTCTAGTATCTTGGTGCTTGATTTGTGCTATTTACTTTTAGTCAATCATAGTATTTCACTGTTCTTGACTTCTTGGGATATAAAATTATAATCTGAAATTTGTTTATACTTGCTGGAGGTGATATTCATATGTCTGATACTCTGATCTCATATTTGGGGGATCTTTTTATTAGGTTTACATCTTGTTTTGGGGGACTTATATAACTAGCCTACTCAAGCGAGAAGCATACTGAAAAGCTTCTGCTGTTAAGTGCAAACCTAAATGTTGAATGCAATTTTTTCAGCTGCATATTGTAAATCTTCTCCATTGTATCCTTTCTAGGGATTGGATTCCAGATTTTTCTGAGTGGTAGAATTGTGGGTGAAGGTAAATAGGTAATGCTTCAGTCGTTTAGAATCTGTTGAACCTTCCAAGCTATCCAGGTAGTTGTATAATTTGGAGCTTGTAATAAAGAAAATATATCTGTTTAAAGTGCGATTAAGTACTTCAGGTACTTACTTCTTCAGATATTACTGCTGCCTTTAGTCCCTACGGAACAGTTTTGCTTCTTCATCATATTAAGCCATTATCTTAATTTAAAGGCAAAATTCCTGAAATAGGACTAAAAATGTTTGAAATTTCCAAAATAGGGCTGACATGTTTTTATTCTCTAAATAAAAGTAATTACGACCAAGTTTGGAAAATACCGTCATGTTTAAAGTCTAGTACTGTCTAAACATGACAATAATTAGTCCTATTTAGGGAATAAAAACATGATAGTCCTATTTTGGAATAGACAAACATATTTACTCCTACCTAGGGCAATTTCTCTAATTTTAAAGCATGGCAGCATGATTTTCATGTTCTGAAGGTTTAGCAATGTGAGTTACTGAATGTTTGCATCTATGTTAAAAAGTTTTTGGAACTTCTCTGTGCAACTTCATGATTTGGATTTAGCTTTTTGGAATCTACTTAAGCGCAACCATATATCATATACTACGTATACCATAGGTGATTCTTTTGTTCCGTTAAAGATGGAAGTAACTGCTGGATAAAACCTGTGTTCTATGGCATTGACTGGTGAGTGGTGAATCATACACTTCCACTCTATTTTATGTTTCATACTGATTTGTTATTCTTTTAGGGTATTTATCATATGAGATGACATAAATTTCTTTCTATATACATAGTTATTCAAGCAATTCTCTGGGGTGAAAGAAACACAAGGGACGTAGAGAGTAGTAGCAGTATAGATATCCATATCCAGCTGAACAATAGTAGAACCAGAAGAAGTGGCATGGAATTTGAATCTGTTTGGACAAAGCATAAAAAGTTGTCAGCCTTCACAGCTCAATATATCCACTTCGCAACAACTTTTATGCATTGGTCTTCTAAAATTTCCTTAAGTGAAGGATATCATGAATTTCTCTAGTTAAAAGCTTGTTGTTGTTAAGCTACACTGTTGAATTCAATTTGTCAGTATTGTGATTTTAAACAAAATGCCCGGTCCTGCCATTACTTCCCTTGTTGCTAATGATTCATATTCTCCCATCTTGCCCGGATTGCCTGATGACATGGCAAAATGCATCCTCACACTTGTTCACCGATCTTCTTTTCCTGCAATGAGTGGTGTGAACAAGAAATGGAGATCATTTATGGGAAGCAAAGAGTTCATAATGGTACGAAAGCTAGCGGGATTGCTCCAGGAGTGGCTTTATGTCTTAACTGCAGATGCTGATGGAAAGGAAAGCTACTGGGAGGTATTGGATTGTTTGGGGCACAAACACCATCAGCTCCCGAAGATGCCTGTACCTATGAAAGATGGGTTTGGTGTGGTAGTTCTCGATGGTAACTTGCTTGTTATGGGCGGATATTCAGTGGTTGATGGACCTGGTTCTGCTTCAGCAGAGGTTTTTCAGTATGATTCATGCTTGAATAGGTTAGTCTTACTTTGTTATTCCGTTTTAGTTATTTTGATCTATATTCTATGACTCCTCTCCAGTGGTGTGGCAGAAAAATAATTACCCAAGGTGAAAAGTTTAACTAGTCGAAAAGTTGCAAGTATTTTAGGATAAAAAAGAAACAAAAGCTAAATGATTCAAATACTAAGGTAACAAACATGAAAAAATGCTTATAAAAAATGACATGAAAAGAAAAACTAAACTCAAACAAATGCTTATAAAAAATGACATGAAAAGAAAAACTAAACTCAAACAAGTATTGTTCAGTCACATTTTATAGTTCTCATTTTCTTTCTGCTCGGACATTTAAGAAACAAAGGATGGCAGTGAACCTTCCCACTTTGCCTTTTTACACATGTTAAAAAGTTGTGAGATGGGTGAAGTTGTCAAATCTTAAAAAGGTGAAGTTAGAAAGTAGAATATTAGCTGTGTTAAAAAAAATGTGGCCGTCAAGGCATCAATGTAGTATGAACTAAAGAAAAATAAAAGTATGACTTATAAGTTAGATGAGAGAAATGGGTAACACTCATATAAACTGTTATAACAAATGTCAAATATTAAAAATGTATACCCTTTGCCCGGAAAAGGGGTTTGTCTTTAAAAATTTGTTTTGGCTCTAAGGATGTTTTTAATTGGACTGAAATTTGCTGGTTTGGTCTAGTCTGAACTGGTCTGGTCAGGTTCGGTAAACATCTTGTTTCTGTGTGTTTTATAACTGTCCAATTCTGGTCTGGTCTGGTCTGGGACTGAAAATAGTCCAAGTAAAAACATCCTTAAAATAGAACTCTTTTGGAGACGAATAGTGCTAAACAAGAAAACACATCAAGATAAGAAATAAAAGTTAACTTACCAAGTAAAATACAACAAAGTTAATCAAGAATTTGTGAAAACAACATCCCTATTTAGCTGATATTTGTAAGATGGTCACCCTTTAAAATATACTTGAGTATACCCCCACAAGAGTTCATGTTAACATGTCCCATTATTTCTTCTGATACATGCACATATGTATCCTGATTTTGCACTAATCTCACAAGTCTCTCCCATTTGTTTTTTAATCCGCTTTCAAAGATGTTAATGTATGATTTTTATCTTTTATTATCCATTCTGTAATACTTGACTAAAGTTGGTTTGCATGTAGAATAAAAAAGTAAAATTGTGTCTTGAGTTTTGTGGAGAAGAAAGACAAAAAACTTTAACCACATATTTATTGCTCTAAATGAGAGCAGCATTTTTTTTGGAGCACAAAATAAAGAAAGTTGGCAAAATTTTATGGGAAGAGGGAGCGTGTATAAATTTATATCTTTTGTCTCGGGTTGTTTGCTCATCGGCAGGTGGAGCAAATTAACCACAATGAATGTGGCACGCTATGATTTTGCGTGTGCTGAGGTGAATGGGAAGGTGTATGCAGTTGGAGGCTACAGTGTGGATGGAGAATCCCTTTGTTGTGCTGAGATGTATGACCCAGACACTGAAAAATGGATGATGATCGAGTCTCTTCGTCGCCCAAGGTGGGGCTGTTTTGCCTACGGCTTCAATGGGAAGCTTTACGTCATGGGCGGTCGTTCAAGCTTCACTATAGGGAACTCCAGGTTCGTTGACGTGTACAATCCGGAGAGGCACACATGGTGTAGTGAGTTGAAAAACGGTTGTGTCATGGTCACTGCTCATGCTGTGCTGGGTAAGAAGCTGTTTTGCATTGAGTGGAAGAACCAGCGTAAGCTAGCCATATTCAACCCGGGTGACAACTCATGGAGGATGGTCACCGTCCCCGTGACCGGGAGTTCAAACGTTGGGTTTCGATTTGGAGTTTTGGACGAGAAGCTTTTGCTGTTTTCTGGCTTGCAGGAGGATGATGGTTCTGCCACTACACTTTTATATGATCCGAATGCAGCTCCGGGTTCAGAGTGGAAGACCTGTGAAATAAAGCCGTCAGGTACTTGTTTGTGTAGTGTCACTATCAAAGCTTAGGATGCCTTTTTTTCTCTCCGGACTACCTATTATTTTCAATTTGTCGAAGGTTGAATCCCCACCCCCAACCCCAAGGTCCCCCACGCCTCGACAACGCATGGGAGTTTGTAAATCACGTTGACTCAACCAATCCTAACGGTGGTAGACCTTATACCCGTGCGCACCAGAGGCACAACTTAACACATAGGATCAATGAATGTACTGAAGTTGAGCTACCCGTATACAGGTTTTGATCCTTTGTTCAACTTTTCCACCGCTTTACTAGTTGAGCTACCCGTATGGGTAACCTATTATTATTTTCAATGAATGTACTGAAGTTGGATTGCTACATATATTTTGGCGTTTGTTTTGCTTCCATGAATTAGTTGGTTTTGGCTACTTTTGGGGGCGTTTCTTACATGAGGCGTTTCCATTTACCCACCTATTTTCTGTCTTTATTCTTGAAAAATGCCAGTGCGTTTGAAAAAGAAAAAGGGTGCATACGTATGAAAGGATGGGTATGCCGTATGCCTGGTTTTAATGTTTTGTATACTGAAAAATGTTGCGCATGATCAAATCACCCTTCACCTGTATGAAGCTTCCTTTTCAAGTTCTAATACACTATGACTCTGCAGCTTATTCCATTTAAGATATTTTTATCTTTTTGGAAAGATATAATGAATTTTTAAAACTCTGATAGAGAGTACATTTATCAAATAATGAACAATGAGTACGTATCATATTGAAATTCAAAAACCATTATGTTGATTCCATACAGGTAAATATGTTTGATTTGATCATATGTGTATGTGATTTATTTCGTTGGAATCCATTTTATCTCATTGGAAAGATAAATTGAACTTCTAAAAATCTTATGGACATTTATCAAATCTTAAAGGATAATTACGCATTATACCAAATTGTCAGGATTTTAGTCATTTTACCATTAAGCCAAAGCTAAAAGTAGTATTGAGGTGTACCCGCATTCCCACGGTTTAACACAAAATTCAAAAGCAATAATGTGGCGACTCCATACAAGTGAAATGTTGGAATTGATCATATGTGCTAGTGTGCTACTCCCTCCGTTCCACTATTATGGTCTCGTTGCGGTTTACGATTTTTTATCGACGATAAAACAAACATATCCTTGTACGCACTCAAATTATTTTTAGAAAAAAATTATCTATTCAGAAACTACATTAAAAGTTTTACAAAGTCGCAAAAATCAGAATCAAATTTAATAAAAATTTGATAAATAAAGTAAGAGATTAAGAGTGATTCGTCTTGACCAAATGAATAGAAATTGAGACAATTTTAGTGGAACGGAGGAAGTATATTTTATTCCGTCCATTTATCCCGTTAAAGAAATTAAATAGAAATTCTAAATTCTTAGAAAAATTTCATTCATCAAATATTAAATGATGTGCACTATTGTACTGCAATTTAATATGGAGGATTTGAGGGGACAATTTTGTTCGCCAGTATAAGGCTCTGCCCATTTTTATTCAAAAATATTAGTACATGCATGATATTCAAGTTTACTACACTCCAAAGGTTACACAATGAGAAAAATATTTTTGATTTGATAATTGAAGTGCTCTAAATATTTATTAAAGTCCTGAAAATGGTAAAACAAAGGAGAATTATTTGATAACAAGAAAATGTTAATTTTTTGTCAAGTTATTTGAAGATAAATAGTGTAAAAGGCACACATTCACCGATACTCTTTAAATAGCTTATGTGTTGTTTAACAGCATGATTCTTATCAGAATAAAGAGTTAATTTTTGAATTACATGTTTGCCTATCAAGGGCGGTCATAAGTCATGAGGACTCTTCTTAATATTACAACAGCTTGTATGAGATTTATTAGTTCAACATGAGTGCTCGTAGGCATTTTAGGAAACCTACGACAAACACTTAAGTAGGAAATAAAAATTATGAAAATGGAAATTTGCTAAAAAAGTGGTTGCAAAATATAACACCTCTTGTTATTGAATTTTAGTTGCCTTTTATAGTTATTAAAAGTTTTCACTACGAAACATAATGACACATTAACTATGACATTAACGCAACATTAACTGCATAGTTAATTTTTACATTTATTGTTTGAAGAAATTCCACTTATGGTCCTTCGAGTTTTGCACCAATTCCACAATTAGTCCTCGTCTTTCATTTCATCCATTTTTGGTACCTATTGTTTTCTTGACCATATATAGTTCTTTTCTGATAGTAAAAATGCTCAGAAATGGACCACAAATGGTCAAGAAAACAATAGTCAGGTACAAAAAATGGATAAAGTGAAAGATGAGGACTAAAAATGGAAATGACACAAAATTCGGAGGACCTAAAGTGGAATTAATCCGTTATTGTTTGGACCATTGCTCTTCCAGGCTGAAATGTCTCGGACACTTGAGTTCCCTCTCTGCGGGGTTGGTAAATGGTCCCTTGCTGGACACGTACGTCGACTCCCGAGTGGATGTGTAGGCAGGCTCCCGGATCGGCTGATAGTCAGATTCCCAATCATGCTGGTAGGCGGACTCTGTATGGATGGGTCAGTAGGCAGGCTCCTGACGAGGTTGATAAACAGGCTCTAGACTAGGTTGGTAAGCAAGCTCACAACTAGATTGACTTCGTGCCAAGTTGATAGACGACTCCCAACTGGACTGGTTGGTCGGTTGGACTGTCAGGCTGACCGTATTGGACTCCCACCTTGGTAGGCTTGCTTTCCTTGATGAGTTTGTTTGTTGGACTGGTCTCAGCTCTTTATTTGTTAGGCCCGCTGGGTGGGTTGCCCCTGGTGAAACACTTATCTCGAGTTTGCCCCTGTTGTTTAAGTCGTGAGCCTGGACATGCGAGTCCAAGTCCTAAGTCTTGGCTTGTTAGAATCTGGCCTAGTCTCATAACCCATCAAAATTGTTTATTTTTAGAATAAGTCTATGTTTCTAATTCTTGTAAATGGTGCATATTATACTTTTTTTATGATAGTGCATATTATATTTCTATTAATGCTATAATTGTTTAAAGTTCATTACTTGTGCAATAAATTCTTTTCAAGAAAACCTGAACTAAATGAATTGTGTAAATTTAATGTCATACGGACATTTATATCATTTTAGATTCACTTCACATTATTTGAAAACTGTTTAATATTGCTTAAAGATATTTTATGAAACCAAGTACTAATTTATTCATTGAAGATAAATTAAACTTTACAAAACTAGGATATTTTGTCGAACAAATATCTAAATTTTAAACTAATGAATTGTTTTATTGTTGATTTATCTAAGTAAGGATACCTTATTTTAGTTTTTTCTCCTTTTACATCTCATATCAAAATATGAAAATTTTATGAAAAATTTACATATACAATAGAAAAATTTGAAAGTCTAAGAAAAAGAGTGGTGTCCCCCCTAAATCCCTAAATCGGTCCTACTGACACTTAAGGGGGTGTCCCCAAGGTTGTTAAAATCTAGATTTAAATCATAAAATCATATGATTTTATGATTCTACATTAATATATCGATTCAAATCGCAGGCAAAATCGTAAAATCATAAAACCGTAAAAAATCGTACAAAAATCGTGTAGAGAATCGTTTAAAAGCGTAGCAAAATCGTAGCAAAATCGTAATAAGTTTTTTTATAGTGAAAATGGTTCAAATCTATTAAAATTAACTACTACAAATTGATACATAATTACAATAATAATATCAATAGTATATTTAAAAAAGTAATGGATTCTTGTGTTATTTAATTATTTTTATTTTTTACATATGTTTAATGTTATTATTCACTACATTTACATTATTAGAATAGTTTATAAGTCATGTTTTGGACCTTGTAGGTATAGTTTTATGTAATGAAATGATATAATACCATTAACTTACAACATAATATTAATATTTATTTATTTTATAATTATTAAGACATGTTTGATAAAATCTTACGATTTGCGATTCGATTTTACGATTCGATTTTCAAAAACATCTACCGATTCGATTCAAAAATACGATTTTAACAAGCTTGGGTGTCCACAATTCGGATTCTGAAGAATTTTAATGGAGTTTAGAATTCCATCAGAATTGAGGTGTCATCGATTTGGATTTCTATGGAATTCATGAAAATAAGAGTCTCCTCAAATATTTCGTGGATTTCTGTTGTTACTTATTTGCACGAATTTTAATGGGTTTCGATGGATTTCTATTTACAAAAAAGGATGACACCCCATCCCTGAGAGCCCCCGACCGGACGGTACGTTGGAGGATGTAAGTTGAATTATAATCTCAATCTGACAGATAGAGAGTGAGATTCTGTCCCCGGTACTTGCAGAGACCGTATGCATTTTTTAGCATAGTAACCTCCCATCGGAGTTGTCGGGATTCGAACCCGAAACATAGCCCTTGTGGCACTCCCTCACTACTAGTTGTGCTACGTCCACCGGTTGGATTTCTATTTACAAAAACAATCCATCGCAATCGAAAATCCATCAAAGTCATAATCGGAACACCCCTTTAAGCTTCACTTTAATTTAAGGAAATTGGATGATTAGACTACGCTTAACACTTCCAAAACTTGAAATCAAGTCATTATCATACTACTTCAATAACTTTTTGTGATTGAGTACCAAATTCATCCATTGAAAGTCGGCCAATATAATTCTTGAAATGTCCCTAATTAGAATAGCGGCAATTATTATATACGGAATAATAACATTTGTAATAGCATTGGTCGCTTAATAAGGATGTTTTTACTTGGACTCTATATTGCTGGTCTGGTCTGGTCTGGTCTGATTTGATCTAATATGATCTGGTTTGGTCTGGTCTGGTCTAGTCTGAACTGGTTTGATCTGATCTAGTTTCTTTGTATTTTTATAACTATCTAAGTCTGGCCTGATCTGATCTGAACTGGTCTGATCTGATATGATATGATCTGGTCTGATCTGATCTGATATGATCTGGTCTGATCTGCTCTGGTCTGCTCTGATCTGATCTAGTCTGAGACGAATTATGATCCAAGTAAAAACATCCTAACTAGACTAGAAGAAGAAGAGTAGCATAGCAACTCAGTAGAAAACTAGAAACGTCAAATCAGGGGTTTACATCCAGGGAACAAAAGCGGAAGAAAGGTATACGAAGTATACAGGGACTAAGCCTAAAGATCAATTTTTTTTTTTTGCCGTAGAATTGTACGATCCAGATCTGAGGAGCCTCTGTTTTTTTTTTTTCATTGGCCGCCAATAACGAATCTTGCTCGTTTTTGGGAGTCCTGTCTACGAAGCCTGCTTTCTGGGATTTTTTTTTGTATCTGACCAAACGTTTCCTTGAATTTGGTAAGCTCCCTTCCTGCACCAAAAGGTCAAACTTCTACCTGGTTCGGTTTACTAATAATTACTCCTCTCTCCAAATTTGAGTTTTGTGGTTTTATCCCGTGGCAGTGTTAGTTTGATCTGTAATCTGTGTTGAAGAAGATTGCTATGTCTGGAATATTGGGTCGTAAAATGGCCTCTACGGGCATTTCTTCTCTGGTATACTCTTGAATCTTTTTAGGTTGTGCGTCGCAACTAATTTTGGTTTCGTTATACTTGTGCACGAGCTGTGTCATCTTTCATTTTCCTATCATTTTCAATTTTAGATTGCAAATCGGCTTTTGGTGAGAAGCAGGCAATTTGCATCCCGAAGCTTCTCTTCAACCGCTAAAGAGGTTCTTTTCCGGTTCCTTCCCGTTCTTTTATGTTGCATTCTTTGCGTATCATTCATACTGGTTACATTACAGATGACAGTGCGTGATGCCTTGAATTCAGCACTTGATGAAGAAATGTCTGCAGATCCTAAGGTCTTTTTAATGGGTGAAGAGGTAATGATCATACTTTTTGTTTTCAATTCCGTTTTCTTTTCTGTATAGATGTGTAGTTAGACATGTGCAAGTTATGTACCTTTTTAAAATGGTTTGTCGTGGATTCATTATTGGTCTATATGTTGGAACAGGTTGGTGAGTACCAGGGAGCATACAAGGTCTGAGATTTTCTCTTTTTGGTTCACCCATTGTCCTAGTACTCCTATTAATCCTATAAAATCATAAGCTTTTCCTTCTTTATGATAACTTTAACTGTTTTCACTGAAGATTTCAAAAGGGCTTTTGGACAAGTATGGCCCAGAGAGAGTTCTTGATACACCTATCACTGAGGTTACTCCTCATGCACCTATGAATTGCCTGCTTTAGTGTTTATTGTATAATAATAGCATGATAAGTTTTTAAAACATTTTGTATGCATGTGTAGGCTGGATTTACTGGGATTGGAGTGGGTGCTGCTTACTATGGGCTGAAGCCTATTGTAGAATTCATGACATTTAACTTTTCAATGCAGGTTTGATTGTTATTTTCTCTCTTATAGAATCTTGAAATGCTCATTAATACATGTCAAACTATCTATATGCATGAGTCAATTCAACTCTACTCCTAGGGGTAGAGGTAAGGTCTATGTACATCTCACCACTGGACTCTACTTCTTGGTGGGGCAGACTTGGTGTGTTTGATTTTCTTTTGTATGGTTTAAGTCAATGAAACTAGTAATATGGTAAGATTTGGAGCTTGCCTGGAGATTTGTGGCCATTAGACCCAATATAGGGGTTGTTTTGCAACCTTGCCGATCTCCAATAATCTCTTGGATGTACTTTCTCTGCCCCAATAGGGACTGGACAATATGTGCGTTAGTTATTGCAGATTACACTTGTATCACAATTGTCGTGACCTGTGAGGTTACCATTCATACACAGATACACTGTAAGGCCAGTTCATATCCTAATGTCATGTTTATGTCGTTTTGGAAACAGGCAATTGATCATATTATTAATTCTGCTGCAAAGTCGAACTACATGTCTGCTGGTCAGATATCCGTGCCTATTGTCTTTAGAGGACCCAATGGAGCTGCAGCTGGTGTTGGTGCCCAACATTCTCAGGTATGGCCTGAAACTCAGTTGTATTTTCTTGTAAAGTCTTGTTTCCGTAATAGCAGAACTCAGTTGTACAGTGCTAATAGTGTTCCAATAGATCTATGCTGTAGTTCATTCTCCATTGGGTACAAAAAATAAAACTTATCACTTCAGAGCGCTTTCAACTCTGTGGCAGGTTTTGTTTTGTTTTGTTTTTGTTTCATGGTTGAAAAAAAGGAACACAATCGGTTATGTTGTTGTTTCTTTTAACACCTTTCCTCTTTCATTTTTATAACTAAAAGTGAAAAGAGTCTGCCATGTTTCTGTTTTTAATTAACTTTTCAATTATTTTAAGTTTAGTTTCATATGTCCCCGCTATTTCACAAGGATTCATTTTTTCCATGGCCACTTATTATTTCCTCTCAACAAACTTTTGTAAGCGGTATTTAAGTTGCGAAAAACAAGAACAAATTAAACCACATTATACACACTTCTTTTGGGACTACGGCTCGGATGTTGTTGTTGTTGTTGTATACACACACAGACATACATATTTATACTAATGTACACATACATATACGTGGATATATATAATTATATCATATACATACACACATTATATTGTTGTACATTCAGATCCTTTTTAATTGCACATTTCAGGAAGCAAGATTCACTTTTGAAAAATAACACTTTTAGTTTTTTCAGTTTGGCAAAGGTAATTTGGCAGACTTCGTTTTCTGATGGTGAAACGGGATATATTCTACTTACTGGAATGGGCTTTTGGAATGGGTTTGAATGTGCAATCCATACATCTTTCAAGTTGCAACATTTACCAGCTTCCAGAAAGAACTTTCTGCTTGTCAAAAGTTGAGCCCAAACAGGGCTTCTAATAAAATAGTAATTAGGGAGAGAATAGGGAATAATTATATTAGATGAATGATCTTGAAGCATATCACTGCATATGCAGTTTTTACATTTTTGGAGACTTTAAGCAGGTGTTTGTTTAGAGAAGAGGATAAGTTCTTGTGTATAGTATCTCTTCAGGTGTTCTTCATTTTGGTATTGCTTGAACCCTTTAAAATAATAAATTTCATTCACTAGAACATAAATGAACTTCAGTACCAACGCATGAAAGTTAGAGCATATTCACGTGGATGATTTACTAATAGTTGCATTAGCTATTATAAGCATTTAAGTGTACAAGTTGAAAGACACTTTCATGGACCAGATTGCAGAAAAGGTAGGTTTCAGCTCTCCTTGATAATGAAAAATAGTAGGGAATGTTGAAAAATACAGTAGAGAGAAAAATAGACTTGTCTATGACAGAAACCCATGATTAATTTGATTGTATGTACTTTATTGTATTTATTGTAAGTGGTATCATATCCTATTATATAATATGAGTGTACACAACTCAGAAATCCTGAAACTAAGTCCTGGACCGACACACATACAATAATCAAAGTATACATACTAATTCAATCATTATGTAGATGATTATCTAATAATAATATCAAATCAAATTAACTCATTAAGCTATTTAATAAATTAATAATTTAAGACTCCTTTGAGGCTTTCAAGAACGCATAAGATGTATCCATAGACTTGTAGTGATCTTGGTGTTTAGTGATAAAAGAAAAGTTCAGTTTATTTTCTTTTGAACAAAATTTCCCTAATTTGTTGCAACTTTTAGAAGCACCGTACCTGTTTAAATCATCAGTTGCATATATGGCATTTGAGTGGAGTTACTGCTTCCCTTTTTTATAGCATGTTTGTCACTGTTCGAGATCTCTTGCAGTGCTATGCAGCATGGTATGCTTCATGTCCAGGACTTAAGGTTCTAACCCCCTACTCCTCCGAAGATGCTCGTGGCCTTCTCAAAGCTGCTATTAGGGATCCAGACCCCGTTGTTTTTCTTGAAAATGAATTGCTGTAAGTACCAAACTATTAAAATGAATTGTTTCATACCACTGCTTTTTTCTCATTTTTATATCCTGTAACCTGTCATAATTTAGTATTAACGTTACAATTTGTGCTATAGATATGGTGAGTCTTTCCCTGTTTCAGATGAAGTTCTTGATTCTAGTTTCTGCCTTCCAATTGGGAAAGCTAAAGTAAGCACTAGGCTAAGCAAATGTTAGATTGAACCTTATATTATGTTTATATATACTACCTTTGTCCCGTTTGAAATTTGAAGGTTCTCATTTGAAAATAGCACACCTTTTTAGGCAATAGTTAAATAAAGCAATCTGAATATAGTTTGGGTGGTTATATAATATATTGGGGTAATTGATGATAATGGTGTTGTTATCATGGTTGTCATGGTGGCTAGGCATGGCGTCAACTGACAGCCTTATCGCCTTAGAGTCTCTGACAACTAGACAGCAAGTTGCTTCATATGTAATATTGTATTATAATATACATATATAATGAAATAATATATTACAAATTAAATAAAAACATGAAACAAAAGTAAAGGATAAAATAGTGTACAGTTAGAAACATGCAGTACATGACTATAGATTAAAACATGGAGTCCAGCACTCCCGCCAAACAAAATCCGAATAAAACAAAAAAAAACTAGCTACCTCAAAAAACAGGATGAGAGAGAGAGGAGATGGAGGCGGAGGCAGAGTAGCGACCTACAACGGGTTGAAGAACCTAGGATTCTGGCCAAAGGCTTCATATTGACAACTAATTATCTTTTAAAACCTAATATTCCGGGTGGGTCGCTGAAAACTGGATCTGGGCGTTGCCATGATGACTTGCAGATGCTTAAATCCTAATTGACCCTGAGTTATGCCTTGGGAGCTTCAGGCGATTCGATTGAGCATGACTCCTCCACCGCTGGGATGACTAGTTGTCGCCTAGGTGACACCGTAAAAACACTAGTCGTTATGGGTGTGTTAATTTTAATATGTGATGATAAAGTTATAAAAAAAGGCTAATCATTCCCTGAAGTGGAAATAAGCACCTTGATGTGGGACGCTCAAAAGAGGAAAATGATAACCTTGAAACGGGACGGAGAGAGTACATCAGCGTCAGTATTATTATTAATATTGTTGTTATTATTTTATTATGATGATGGTGATGATGTTCCAAACATTGGCAGATTGAACGTGAAGGAAAAGATGTGACAATCACCGCCTTCTCAAAAATGGTTGGCTATGCTCTAAAGGTTTGTGGTTCTTTCGACATGAAAAAGTTTTAAGCTATTAAGCTATATGCCTATATCTGAATATATATCTAGTCATACATGAGTACACGACGCGTGAATCATGCAATATATTCTAGAGTTTCAATGTGTAGATCTCTTATATGTGCACTTTAGGATTTGATGTCCAAAGTATTGTCCCTGAGCCTAATTGCGTGTTGATGATGTTCCTGTCTCATAAATTAAAAACCAATATCAAACAAAGATCGGTGCCTTGTGATACATATCTTAGAATTCTTCTATCTACAATTTTGTTTGTGCTGCATATTTTACAACAATCTCAACTCATTTCCATGATGTTATTTTGAACAGAAAATTTCATGAAACAGCCTTATTTTCCAAGTGACTTAAAAAAACCTTTGGTGAACAAGTGTTTTCAGGATTTCATATTATTGTTTGTCCCTAATTCAAGGTTGCAAGTAGAAAGGCATCAAGTTTCAAGTTTTGCCATTGTGTTTTTGTTCACAAATAGATAGCGTTCACTGAGTTTTGAAAATTACGGGACACCCATTTCACCCATCACAACATAGCTCGAAATTAAGGAGATGATAATGATGATTATGATGATGAAGTGGGTAAAAACCCAATGACGAAGACCGTTTTGAATTAGATCTTTGTACCATTCCTTAGAAAGGTTGTTACACGAAGGACATCTTCCGTGAAATGATGTCATTATCCTTCAATAGCTTTTAAGCTGCATGAATATTTAGTTTTAACACATTTTATAACACAATATAGCTGGACTTAGGTGTATATGATAATTATGTCATATATTTTACAATTGCTGGTTCTTGTGTATCAAACTCACATCCAACTTTCCAGGCTGCTGAGGTTCTTGCAAAGGAAGGAATCAGTGCTGAGGTACTCAAGAGCCTACACAGTTTTGTTACTTAAGCTTACTAGAGTCCATCATTTCCTCACCTGATTTTTTTTGAACAGGTCATAAATTTGCGCTCCATCAGACCTCTCGATAGATCCACAATCAACTCTTCTGTTAGGAAAACTAACAGACTTGTAACTGTTGAAGAAGGATTCCCCCAACACGGTGTTGGTGCTGAGATCTGGTTAGAACCTTTAATATATTTATGCTCCTATTTCCCATCCCAGCTCCCTACCAAAAACTAAGAATCTGTTTGGAGCACGAATGTCGGAAAATGCTAGGGAAATAAAGTAGAAACAAAAGTAGCGAAGATAATTTGATGGAAAGCAAGTCTGGAGGGGGATAAAAGATATATTCAAGCTCTACATGTATTTTGAATATTTAGCTAAACTCATTGTATTTTTATTCATAAACATAAATTTCTAAAAAACGATAATTTTATATTGTTTGCCTGGATTTCTATGGTTATGGTGTAAAGCCAAACATATGAGAAAAACTTTGCTTATCCTGGATCCAAATATATCTTGACAGGAAAGGTATAAAACAGAACTGAAACTCATCCTCTCAAGTATCATACATTTATCACTTTCCATCATACCTGATTAAGTTTTCATCATGTTAGTGCAACTGTTGTTGAGGAGAGCTTTGGATACCTTGATGCACCTGTTGAAAGGATAGCAGGAGCTGATGTTCCTATGCCGTATGCAGCAAATCTTGAAAGGCTGGCTGTTCCCCAGGTTTGTGGTCTAATATTATCTCTCCGATTTTTCACGATTTTTGATACATTTTTTTGCAAATCTCTAATAATAATTACAAGTAATTACTAAGTAAGAAACTAGGCTGTGACAGGAAAAGGCAGCTGACGTACAGTATTGTTACACTGCTTTTACGTGAATATAGTGTTAATTAATGTTATACAATTAAATCGATTACTTTAATGCCACCAATCCAATTGGATTAAGGTGTGATATTGGTGATGACGATGCTGGATGAAAGCATCAGAAGCAATTTGAGTAAGGAGTAAGGCCATGAGGGAGAATGACACATTAAATATGGCTGGCTATAGGATACTTTTAGAAAAACTGAGGTGATACGACTGAATGCAATGAGGCTTTTAAATCAAGATGTCTCATTTAAAAACAACCAATGAAGGTAGAAGTCTTAGTTCATTGGTTGGGAGGATGAGAAGCTTATCGGTTATTCTTGGAAGAAATGTGATTGTCATGTCCCATGAGTCCATGACATGCATGTTGAATTTACCAAGTCATTTTGCAATTAGACATGGCTGTAGCACCCATTTCAACTCTTCACCATCTAAAAATACTCTGAAGATGACAGTTTGGCAATTTAATCAGATTATTCCTTCTTTAGAAGGTTGCGACGCTAAGAACATGCCACCAATCCCACCATACTATGTAGACAAAGACTAACACATTGCAATGTTTAGAAAATTTACTGTCCCCACCTGGTCACTTAATAAACGTTAAGAAAGCTGAGAACAGGAGAAAAGTATGCTATATACTGCTTCAGAATTGTAACTCTGTTTCTCGATTTATCATTGCATTGACAGGTTGAAGACATAGTTCGTGCAGCAAAGAGGGCATGTTATAGATCAGTTCCTATGGCTGCCACTGCATAGGAAATTTGGGATTGACATTATAATTGTATTCCAATGCTGGTCTCTTTTTTTCTTCATCTAAACCTATGTTTAGATCTACACCCTCTTTTGAGGATATTTATTCTTTGTCCACATTGATATTGATAAGACACTTTCTCGGTTTCCTTGCAATGCTTGCCCATGGACAAGCTGAGTACTGAGAATCAGTCTCAAAACAAACTTTTGTAAAAGTATAATAATATGATTGGGGTATGGTATATTTGCCCCTAGTTTTTAGATTGCTTCTTCTGGCGCAACCGTTTAAACTGTCATGCTAATTGTGTCATTACTCATTAGCAGTATTTTTGCCTGTTTGGGGAATTCTTAAGTTCTGCCAAAAATGATTCCAGCAGAATATCTGAGATTGTTATTTCAGCTTCACCTAGTAACTTTTGGGGATTGATGCTTCGTGTTTTTGTTATAGGGAATTAAGTTCTCCCACCACCATTTACGTCTACTTCTCTTCCCTTCTGCTCTATCTAACAAATGTCACCATGTCCATCTTTATGAATTATGAAGGTCGATGCAAGAACATTTATAGCGTTCACTGCCATTGATCAAATAAAATTTATCTTTCATGTCGACGTTGGCAACGCAAATAGTAAAAAAATGTGAAAAATAAGGGAAAAATTGAAAATAATAATTCCAATTATTTTCCGGTCACCGTTAATAATTCAATGATTGATTATTCCTGGGTGTTTCCAACTATAAGAGCTATTTTTCGAAATCAGTCCCTAACTGGTTTTAACTTGATATAATAGGTCAATTTTAAATGCGAATTATGTGTAATCTTCAAATGACCTTTTTTTAATCCCAACCAAAGGATTTGCTCGGTGATAGATGAGATCAATTCTCGAGCTCACGTCTCTAGCTCACCCAATTACCCTCACGAGTCACGATTCGTTCTCTGTTTGTTGAATTTCTAGGGCCATCCATGGCTTCAGTTCAGTCGATTGGGATTTTGGAACTTGGAAGAGATGGAACAAACATTTTTGTTAAAAATACAAATGAAAACTAATAACCCCTTTGATTCTTATTAAACTTTACAGTTTGACTTCACACCTATTAAGGAAATAAATTTGACGTAGAGTACACTGATTGACACTGTTTGACACTGTTTGGCACTGTTTGATGTAGATTTCTTTGCCAAATAAGGCAAATAAGGAAGTGTAAAGTTTAATATGGGACGGCCCAAAAAGGAAAGTGTAAAGTTAATTAAGGATCGAGGGAGTAAATAATTTAGAGAAGTATTCCTCCTGTTATAGGGAAAGAAGGTTGCCGGCAAGCGCGTAACAGAGGCCGCCGGGGTGCAGACTTTGGTTATACGGGAAGGAAAGTATTCTTCTTGTTTTGTTTTTGTTTAATTCCTTTTAGGGTATGTTTGGCACAACTAATTGAAAATATACTTTTGTGAGCTTTTTAATAACTATTAGCTTTTAGTGACTGAAAAGATCTTAAAGAGAAAATGTGGTAGCTGTTTGGTATAAAGCTGACTGTTTGATTTAGTTCGGTTTGGTATACAAGCTGTTAGGACTAATTAATACTAAAAGTCACGGGCTTTATTCAGGCGCTACTCCCTGTAACATTTTAAAAAAGATATTTTAATTTTTGAAAAGCTCTTAAAAATTGTAGAGACTTTTTGAACAATACAAAAGCTAGAAGGTAGAGACTTATGCTTGCAAAACATAGCCTTAATCTGCTTAAGAACATAATGATTGAAAATAACCAACCAACCTCCTAAGTGACAATTTGAATGTTTTTTATTAGTTCATAGACTTAGAGCCTGTTGAGCAAAATTGAAATTGGCTGAATTGGATGATTCTGTTGAAATATATGAAGTTCTGGCTGAAGTGACTGTATTGATGCATTTATAAAAAAAGTATTTAAATAATTGTTATTAATATATAAAATAAAAAATTATATGAAAAATAGCTAAAATGGTCATCTACGGTAACTTCAGTCAATACAGTCAGAAAAGTAACTTCAACCTTACTTTTTCTTATTATGACACAATTCAGCGCGCGAAATCAATAATTACGTGTTCGGTGTAACAGCCGGCTGATAAACCCGATAAGCCGAAAAAAGGGGTCACTAAACTCTTAATTGAGTGTTCTTTTAGTTAAAATGTAAAACTAGAGTATAATTTAATACGGAGTAAAATACAACCAATTGCATACCCACCTTTATATTATAGGTAGGGATGAATTCGGTTCGGGCCACCCGGCCCGTGACCCGGCCCGGCCCGGTACTGTGCGGGCCCGGGACCGGCCCGGTCGGGCGGTCCGGGACCGGGTATGGACCCGAACCGGTGGGAAGGGGCGGGGCGGGCTCGGTGCTGGATTATTGTGACCCGCCCCGGCCGGGTCGGGCCCGGGTCTAATTTAATTTTTTTTTTTTTGGTTTGGGCTACTAGCCGTTGGGGGTGGGGCTGGGGACAATCCAAACGGCTATATAGCCGTTGGGTGGGGTAAAGGGGGGGTCCGAGGGGGTTGGCTGGTGGGGGTGGGGGTGGTGGGGGGGGGGGGGGGGAGGGTGGGGGGTAAAAAAACCTATAAATACTCCTAATCTTAAACATTTTTTCATATCTCTTCTCCAATTCTTCCTAAATCCTATTCTTAACTCTCTACTCTCTAATTCTCTTATTCTCCAATATATTATATTTATTATTTATATATCTACTTTATAGTTTATACTTAAGAAGTTAAGATGGAAAATCAAGATGCCATTATACGGTATAATTTTGATAAGCAGAAGGACTCGAAGACCGGGATGTGGTACGCAATTTGCAAATGGTGCGAGAAAAAATGTAGTATGGGGGTTTCAGGCGGATTCGGGGTGGCAATCAAACATATGAAGTCATGTGACAAAGCCAAAGGATCGGGAGGTGCGGGAAGTTCCGATTGATTACAATTTTCAAAATGTTTTATCTCTTAAAGTTTGTTTTAATTTTCAAATGTAGTTCCTATTTCATTTCAAATAAATGCAATTGAAGTTTGTTTTTAATACTCGTATAAAACTATAAACTATAAAATATAAATTATAAAAAAAAAATTAACCGGCCCGGCCCGAACCGGACCCGACCCGTGACCCTGGCGGGTGGCCCGGCCCGAACCGGACCCGTCCAACCCTCGGGCCGGTCCCGGGCCCATGTCATACTACCCGGCGGCCCGACCGGGCCTAGGCCCGGCCCGGGCCCGACCCGGCCCGAGTCCATCAATAATTATAGGCCTAAAAACAAGATGTGAGTTCTATGTCAACATTCAAATCGACAACATTTGAAAGTTCTTTGGATTGAAATTCATGGATCAGAACACTTCGGTCCAAACTCTAAATAAAGTGGAAAACCAATCAATCCCATTGGTGAAGTCTTTTTAGACCAAATGAACAAGGAGGTTGAATCCTAGATACACTGCTGCCCAACAATGGTTGAATTTCAAGGATTCAATTTCAACTTCTTTATTTTCTTTTCAGAAGAGGACGCACAACTAATCGTAACTAAAATGGCTCAACAGTACCCTAAAAAAATATCTCAAACAAATCGAATATGTTGAATTATGAAAAATTATATTTAAAATATATTTTATAAATAAAATATATTGAGATTGCATATAGCTACATTAAATTTGTTTTTCATTATTTTGATTATATGTATGTATTATGTATGTGGCCAACTTGCATGGGCCATCCATTGTCTCTATGATTGATAATAGGCTAGATGTACTTCTTGTAAGGTATATATATACACCATGTATATGCTTAATAACATGCACGAAACATAATGCTTTTATAAGAATTCCGCAACTCATATTTCTCTAGTTTAATATTCTGTATTAGTTTTAACATGGTATCAAAGACGAAATTCTGGAAACACAAATTCTAGTTTTTCAGTCTTTCACGTTCTCTATGACGGTCACAGAAGTCAACTTTATGAATAGCTATGAGTTCTTCTTCTTCTTCTCTTTCTTCTTCTTCTCCTTCTTCTTCTTCTCCTTCTTCTCCTTCTTCTCCTTCTCCTTCTCCTCCTCCTCCTTCTCCTTCTCCTCCTCCTCCTCCTACTCCTCCTCCTCCTCATCCTCCTTCTCCTTCTCCTTCTCCTTCTCCTTCTCCTTCTCCTACTCCTTCTCCTACTTCTTCTCCTACTTCTTCTTCTTCTTCTTCTTCTTCTTCTTCTTCTTCTTCTTCTTCTTCTTCTTCTTCTTCTTCTTCTTCTTCTTCTTCTTCTTCTTCTTCTTCTTCTTCTTCTTCTGCTTCTTCTTCTTCTGCTTCTTCTTCTTCTTCTTCTTCTTCTTCTTCTTCTTCTTCTTCTTCTTCTTCTTCTTCTTCTTCTTCTTCTTCTTCTTCTTCTTCTTCTTCTTCTTCTTCTTCTTCTTCTTCTTCTTCTTCTTCTTCTTCTTCTTCTTCTTCTTCTTCTTCTTCTTCTTCTTCTTCTTCTTCTTCTTCTTCTTCTTCTGCTTCTGCTTCTGCTTCTTCTTCTTCTGCTTCTTCTTCTGCTTCTTCTTCTGCTTCTGCTGCTTCTGCTGCTTCTGCTGCTGCTGCTTCTGCTTCTTCTGCTGCTTCTGCTCCTTCTACTCCTTCTGCTCCTTCTCCTCCTCCTCCTCCTCCTCCTCCTCCTCTGCTGCTGCTGCTGCTCCTCCTTCTGCTGCTGCTTCTTCTGCTTCTTCTTCTGCTGCTTCTTCTGCTGCTTCTTCTGCTGCTTCTTCTGCTTCTTCTTCTTCTTCTGCTGCTTCTGCTTCAGCTTCTGCTTGTGCTTCTGCTTCTGCTCCTCCTCCTCCTCCTCCCCCCTCCCCCTCCCCCTCCCCTCCCTCCTCCTCCTGCTCCTCCTCCTCCTCTTCCTCCTCCTTCTGCTCCTTCTTCTTCTTCTTCTCCTCCTCCTCCTCCTCCTCCTCCTCCTTCTTCTTCTGGAAAATTACACCACATTATGGCATCAACGTTTGGGACATGCATCAGATGGAAAATCACACCACATTAGTTCTCTTTAGGGATTTCGAAGAAGCAATAATTTGTGTGATCCTTGCATTCGAGCTAAGCAGACTAGACTATCATTTCCTACAAGTGCCATTTAGACAACTCGTTGTTTCGAATTGATACATTTCGACATTTGGGGACCCTAGAGATGTGATTCAATCTTTGATGCATGGTATTTTCTATCCATTGTTGATGATTTTACCAGAGGGGTGTGGGGTTATTTAATGAAAAATAAATCCAAAGTTTCTCAATTTTTAATCCAATTCTGCAACATGGTCAATACCCAATTTGAGCAAAAGGTCAAACGAATACGAGCTGATAATGGTGTAGAATTTCAGACCAACAATTTATTTGAGTATTATGGATGGAGTGGGATTTTATTGGAAACCTCATGCACAAACACGCCACAACAAAATGGGGTTGTTGAGCGTAAGCATAGACATATATTAGAAATTACAAGAGCATTACGTTTCCAGTCTCGGTTACCAATTGATTTTTGGGGAGAATGCATTTTAACTGTTGTTTATATCATTAATAGGCTTCCCTCACCTATCATTTTTAACAAAATCCCTTTTGAGATGCTATTTGGGAAAGTGCCTAGCTATGATCATTTGCGTGTGTTCGGGTGCTTGGTGTACGCACATGACAATAAAAGAAAAGATAAATTCAGTGAGAGGGGGAGTCCTTGTAATTTTATTGGATATCCGTATGGTCAAAAGGTTTATCGATTATTTGATTTGCAAAAATAAAATGTTTATAGCTCTCGGGATGTAACATTTTATGAAGAAAAATTCCCATTTAAAGTAGTGCTCCATCAACAACTTGACTTTTCGGTACTTGTTGATAAAGTTTATCACCAATTTTTGAGTCGTGAGGATGTAACACCCCGGCCCCGTAGGCCCCAAGGTAGTTACTTCTGACCTCTAGTACCGTCCTCACAAACCGCCACTAGCATTTTCCGTGCACTTTATCCTCACTCGTGCGCGCCCTGAGAAACTTCCCAGGGGGTCACCCATCCCAAGACTACTCCTGTGCAAACACGCTTAACTTTGGAGTTCTCGGCTAATGAGCTCCCTTAAAAGGAGATGCACCTTGTTGGTATGAGTAGTACTATTAATCCATTTAAATTAAATCTCAGGTATTATAGAGGATACTACTGTTCAGCCCTCACTCGCACAACAAGAGCGCAACCAAGCTTCCCCAAATTATTTGCATGTACGGGCTCCACCAGTGCAAGAAGAAATTGTCTCATATTCAAATAATCAACGTCATGCATGATCATTTTGGCCCCACTTCACCATCCATGCTTTTTCCTAAGCCAGTTGCTACAAATAAACAAAAAGACTCCATCAGCTTATTATTTGGGTAAATTGACAGTAGCTCCATCACTCACCAACAGCATCCGCTTCATGCACCTGGCAGCAGCCCCACAAAGACGCCAACGTCGACAAGAGACAAAAACGGTGATGGCTCACATGACGGAAATATGGCATGCACCTTCCATGCAGCCACCTTACGATGCAAATCGTGGACCATCCTCTCGAATAATTTGTACCGACTCCGATAATTCTACACAGCAGCCACTTCATATGGGACCACCTAGCAAATCGGATGAGACTCAATGCACTACACATACTATTCAGCCAAAAAGGAGTGTTAGGACTCACATATTTCCGAAGCATCTTGAAAATTATGAGACTGACATGCCACCCTCATTTGATCATTCACGACCCACTACCAATTCAGTTAACTCAACGGTATATCCCCTTTCTAATTTTATTAGTTATAAAAAATTCCTCCACACATAAAGCTTTTCTAGCGGCCATCACTTCACGTAATGAGTCAAAATATTTTTCACAGGCAGTCCAAGATCCTTTATGGCGAGAGGCCATGCAAAAGGAAATTCATGCTTTGGAAGAAAATAAAACCTGGACTTTGGTTCATCCACCACCGGGGAAAAGAATTGTTGATTCTTAATGGGTTTATAAAATTAAATATAAACCCAATGGAGACGTGGAGCGCTACAAAGCTAGGTTGGTGGCTAGGGGCTTCACTCAAGTTGAAGGAGTTGACTTTCATGAAACTTTTGCCCCCGTTGCCAAACTTGTTACCGTACGATGCATGTTAGCTGTGGGGCCAAACGCCAATGGGCGGTACACCAACTGGATGTCAACAATGCTTTCCTCCATGGAGTTCTATCTGAAGATGTGTACATGCGTATGCCTCAAGGTTTTATAAAATTGGGTGACACTCGTGTGGGCAAATTACAAAAATCTTTATATGGATTACGAAAAGCATCACGTAATTGGTATCACAAGTTTACTCAGACCCTCGTTAAAATTGGATTCCGCCAATCCCGAGGACCACTCACTATTCATCTTTCGACATAACTCAATTATCACTTTTGCCCTTATTTATGTAGATGATGTCATCCTAGCTAGAAGTGGTCTTCTCGCTAGTCGTCCATGTTCATTTCCTATGGAGCAAAATTTAAAACTTCGGCCGGATGATGATAGCCCATTGGTGGATGCCTTTTCCTATCGTCGCCTGATTGGACGTCTATTATATCTTACAGTTACTCGTCCAGACATTGTTTACTCTGTTAGTCAACTAAGCCAATTTCTCACCAATCCTCGACACACTCATCTTGATGCAGCTATACGAGTACCCCATTACTTGAAACAAACACCAGGGCAGGGCATTTTTTTATCATCTGATAATGACTATACCTTAAAAGGTTATTGTGATGCAGATTGGGCAGAATGTTCCTTCACTCGTCGCTCCAGTACTGGTTATTTTATCACACTTGGAAATTCTCCAATATCTTGGCGAACAAAGAAGCAGTATGTTGTTTCTCGTTCTTCCGCGGAAGCAGAATATCGTGCTATAGCTGTTACGATCAGTGAGATCTTATGGTTGTGTTGGCTACTTCAACACCTCATAGTTCCCCAAATGGGCCCAACGTCCCTCTATTGTGACAATCAAGCTGCACGACATATTGCCCTTAGCCCGGTATTTCATGAACGCACTAAATATTTTGAAATTGACCGTTTCTTTGTGAGAGAAAGGGTGACTAGTAATGAAATTCAACCATGTTCAATTTCAACAGCAAATCAAGTCGCAGACATCTTTACTAAAGCACTTGGCACAAATCGCTTTCAGTTTCTCCGGAGCAAGTTGGGTATTCATAACCTTCACATTCCACCTTGAGGGGGAGTATGAGATTGCATATAGCTACATTAATTTTGTTTTTCATTATTTTGATTATATGTATGTATTATGTATGTGGCCAACTTGCATGGGTCATCCATCGTCTCTATCATTGATAATAGGCTAGGTGTACTTCTTGTAAGGTATATATATATATACCATGTGTATGCTTAATAACATGCACGAAGCATAATGCTTTTATAAGAGTTCGTCAACTCATATTTCTCTAGTTTAATATTCTGTATTAGTTTTAACAAAATAAATAAGAAATTAGATTGAAAAAAGTTAGAATAGCCATCTTTAACAATTTTAGTCAATTCAGTTAATATAATCTAATTTATTTTAATTATTATACGTAGTATAATTTAACTCGCGAAATCAAAAGTTAACAATTTTCAAATAGTGTTGTGAAGCATGCTTTAACAATTTTCAGATGGGCTTTCAGTTATCCAATGACTCATCATTACATAGATTATGATAACAATTGTTATTTTGTTGTTGGAATAGCTTGTTTTTTTTAAGATAAAAAAATGTGTGGCAAATCACCTTTTGGGAAAGGGATAAAGCGAATATATTGAAATAGTTGATTTTCAAATAATTAATACCTCGATTTCATAAAATTATTCTCAACTAAATTTGGATCATAATTTAAGAAGGTAGAGAAACAAAGTGAAAATGTATGATTGTGATTAAGTAAGAAAAAAGTAAATATATGTTAACACAAAAAATCCCAAAAAGTAGTCCCAAATTACTCTTCATTGGTCAACTTAGTTCAGGATAATTTTATGCAAAGGTGGACTCGGTTCGGGCCGGGCCCGATTCGGGCCTAGAACCGGCCGGGCCTCGGTTCACGGAAGGCAGGCCCGGAACCGGCCCGGATAACCCCGGGTCCGGTTCGGTTCGGATCACCCGCCCGGTTCACGGGCCGGGCCGCCCACCGGGCCGGGCCTTTTAATTTTTTTATTATATATATTATTATTAGAATAATTCTTATTACAATTACAATATATTATATTCGAATTCAAGTATATTTATTTCAAATAAGAAGTACAATTGAGAATTAGGATGAATTTAAAAAATGTAATACATTTTGTAATAAAAAATCAATCGGAATCTCCGCCTTCGGTTGTTTCCTCCATAAAGTGGCGGGTGGGAGTGATGATAATTTCTTGAGTTCTTCATTGGGCCTTCAACCAATCGTGAAAGCAAACTAGTGTCTCAAGAGAGCTCGGGCTCAACCTCGTTCGATAATCGGTTAGGACGTTGCCGGCCGCACTAAATTCTTGTTCCACGGCAACGGTTGATATCGGCATTGCTAGCACTTGCTTAGTCATCTTTGATAAAATCGGGAATGTTCTTTCATTTTCCTTCCACCACTTAAGAACGTCAAAGTCATCACAAACTTCATAATCAACATTTAATGTTAGATACAAAGAAAGCTCGTTACTTGAGTTTTGTTTAGTAGCAGGAGTTGCTCTACTTTTTTTCAAAAGAGAACCAAAAGCGGATTTTAAAAGTGATTTTCCTTTAGATGAAGAAGATGTTCGTTGCATGGGAGGTCGTGCATTACCATATTGTGCATGAAATTCATTATACAATTGATGAAATAAATTACTAACCTCGTTGAATTCTTGTTTAGGGTCGATGGGATTATCATCGAACTCTTGAGTTGGAAAAAAAGAAGCATAATAGTAATCTATAAAATTTGCCAAGTAAGCAAGTTTATAACGAGGATCAAGAACAAATGCAATACCATATATATGCGGAATATGTGAATAATACTTTAAAAACTTTTGTTTCATGAAATCACAAATATAACTCACGTAAGTGGCTTCGAAAAATTCACAAAAAGCGCCGGCGAGATTAACAGCTTCAACAAAAAATTCGTTTGCGGTAGGTTTATAAACATGACTAAAAGTTAGAGTTGCGTTATTAAAATATGCCAAAACATTAACAATTTTTTCACAAGTGTCGATGTCAGCCGGGTTTATAATATAGTTACAAGTTTGTCTTAAAAAAGCTGGAAAATGATCTTTATATCTAACAAGTACTTGAATTAAATTATAAGTACTATTCCAACGAATAGACAAATCTTTAGGAAAAGCACAATAATTGACACGTCTATCCTTCAAATATTGCCGCCATTGCATTTTTAGTGGAGTGCTAGCTCAAATCAATTTAATTCCCCCCTTCACTACCTCCAAAGCATTTCCTAATGCCGCTAAGCCATCTTGTACACACAAATTTAGAATATGACATGCACAACGTTGATGAAAAAACCTACCCATCAATGTAGAAGCACCACACAATTCACGTAATCTAGGTATAGCAGCAGTATTATTACTAGCATTATCAAAACCTACAACAAACAACTTATCAATCAAATTATACTCAATTAAAATACGTTCAATGAGAATATAAATATTATCAGCAGTGTGACGATCATTGAATTCACGAAAAGCAAGAACACGTTCATGCATATTCCAATCATCATCAATATAATGTGCAGTAAGACCCAAATAATATAAATGATGATAAGTATCCTCCCATATATCGCTACAAATACTAACACGTCCATCAAAGTTTGCGAAAAATATTTGTAATTTTTCTTTTTCCAAGTTATATTGCCTTATAACTTCTTTTTTAATCGTTTTGTGACTATAATTTCTAAATTGAGGATTTAAAGTACCTTGAGCATAATCTCTTAAAGCAAGACTTTCGGAAAAAATATAGGGTAAATTTTCTTCAACAATTAAATGAGACATACCAGTCAAATGTTTTTTATCATCATAGGAAAAATTACCAAAGGGTTGAGAATTCGCAAACCTCGATATTTGTGTTTGCTTCCCCTTGCCTTTGTCTATTTTCGCATACTCCACAAAGTGGGCGGATTGAAGATGCCTTTTGAGAGTCCCGTATCCGCCAGAAGTTCCCAAGCTAAACTCTTTCTTGCAATGATTGCAACTTGCGTACCATTTTTCAATTTTTTCGTCTTTCCTTTTTGTATAATTGTTTTCAATAATAGGAGATTTATATTTCTTACCAATTTGGGTTGTAGTCGTTGAACGGCCCTCGTCCTCCAACTCTTGCTCATCATCCGGAGTCCCGTCGCCCCCCGCGTCCTCCTCCGCATCGTCATCCTCGAGCTCCTCTTCATCGATGGTTGTCGAGAATTGTTGTTCTTGTGCAAAACGTGGATCATTTTGGAACAATAGGTGTTCTAGTTGATCGTCGGACATCATCATATCATCTCGCCGTTGGTAATCCGTTTCAAAATCATCTCGACTTTGAAAAGAAGACTCGGCCCGCGCTTTACCTTTGCCTTTGCGTGAAGTAGATCGAGTCGATGCAATCTCCCTCTTGTGGTTGCGTTGGAGATTACCCACATCTACAGAATGTCTACCACGCTCCATCTTTAAAATTGAACAAATATTAGCAATTAACTAATATGAGAAATGTAAAAATGTAGCAATTAACTAATATGAGAAATGTAAAAATTAACTACTTTTTTTTACTTTAATGAGAAATGTAGCAATTAACTAATATGAGAAATGTAAAAATGTAGCAATTAAGTAATAATGAGAAATGTAAAAATTAACTACTTTTTTTTTACTTTAATGAGAAATGTAGCAATTAACTAATATGAGAAATGTAAAAATGTAGCAATTCACTAATATGAGAAATGTAAAAATTAACTACTTTTTTTTTACTTTAATGAGAAATGTAGCAATTAACTAATATGAGAAATGTAAAAATGTAGCAATTAAGTAATTAACTAATATGAGAAATGTAAAAATTAACTACTTTTTTTTTACTTGAATGAGTAATGTAGCAATTAACTAATATGAGAAATGTAAAAATTAACTACTTTAATGAGCAATGTAGCAATTAACTAATATTAATATGACAAATGTAACAATTAAGTAGTTTAACTAATATTAATATGACAAATGAAACAATTAACTTTAACTACTTTAACTAATATTAATATGAAAAATGAAACAATTAACTACTTTAACTAATATTAATATGACAAATGAAACAATTAACTACTTTAACTAATATTAATATGACAAATGAAACAATTAAGTAATTTAATAGATAAACGAGAAGTCTAACAATTAACTACTTTTATAAAATGTATGTATTACTATATATAGTATATATAATATAATGTGTAAAGAATATAGTATATAAACGAGAAGTCAATGAGTATAAGTATATATAGTATATATAAATATATAATGTGTAAATATATTATAAGTAATATATAATATAATGTATAACTATATATAGTATATATAATATAATGCGTAAAGAATTATAATATGAATGTGTATAAGTATATATTTATAAGTAGATAATTAATATATAAGTAGATATAATAATTATATAAATTATATATATGTAGAAAGAATTTGGAGAAGATGAAGAATGAAGATGATTGAATAATTGAATATGAGAGATTGAGAGAATAGAGAATTTAGAGAGTAGGAAGAGTTGTAGAAGAAGAGGTGTAAAAAATGTATAGAAAATAGGAGTAAAAATAGGTTTTTTTTTGTATACCCCACCCCCACCCCACCCCCCTAACCCCCAGACCCCCCCTCCTATGCTCCCAACGGCTATAGAGCGCCGTTTGAGAGGTCTCTCAACGGCTATGGAGCCTTCCATTATTAAAAAAAAACAATTAAAATGTTACCGTTGAGGGCCGGACCGGGCCGGTTCCCCAAAATCTAGGCCCAGGACCGAACCGCTGGATGACCGGGCCGGGTGGCCCGAACCGTGATCCAACCGCCAAACCGGGCCGGTCCGGGCCCGCACAGTAGCGGGCCGGTCCGGTTCCGAGCCGTTTGGCCCGGCCCGAGTCCACTCCTATTTTACGAAGTATATCAAAAAAATTTCATTTCAAATTTATCTTTTACGAATCTTCTATCATTCGAAGCAAGAGTTGGAGTTGCGGGCATAGAAACTATTGGTATAGCGAGTTCATGTACTTTGCCGGACTCGAAATGCTTTTCTTAACTTTGATTGTTCTTGCTGACTCGGAACGCTAGCGGTGAAAAGAGTGATTCAATACTAATTTTCATTTAAATTTCTAAATATGTACATTTAAGCTTTTAAATCTAATTGCATTATTGTTGAGGAGAATAACATTTTCATCAGCGAAATCTCAAAATCCAAAACACTCGGGGTATTTTTTTATTTGTAATTCTTTATAATTTTACAGATTATATATTCATTGAAGAAGGTAAATTTATGCTTAAACTTGCATTTTTTGGGCATTGTTTTAGTTTATTAATATGAAATAATAAAAAGGATTATTAGTTAAATATATCCGCATCTATCATCAAATTCACAATTACATTTTTTACAATTACAAGTATCAAGGATCATTAGAAAAAGACTCAAACTTTAACTTTTCTTACAATTACACTTGCAATGAATGAATTAGTAAAACTTAAGAAGAAAATCATATTTATATTTCATATTTTTTCACTTCTTTCTAGTTTAAAGTTCACAAACTTGTATTGTTATATCTTATTGGTACTGATAAAAATGTGTAATTTTGAAAAAAACAAAAAAAAAGTATAATTATTGAAAAAGGTGAAGTTTGAGTCCTTTTTTTTATAAAAGTGAAAGCATGTGATATATTTGTAAATTTGATGATAGTTTGAGATAAAATAAGCTAACAATCCTAATAAAAATAAAAAAGAAAAATTTGAGAATACATGCTCATGTTTAGGCTTCGGCTACTCTCATTTAGGCTTCAAAACACTCGAGATTTACTCTTACTTGTCATGCACTCATGCCACACAACATATTTTAGAAATATAGTAAATTTATAAAGTTCAAGCTTTTTAATTATGATGATGATATACAACAATAACAAATACCAATCTTACTTAAACAAATTCATCTTATATGATTGGATTATCTTTTGTTGGACAGAAGATTTTTTGAAATACATCCTTTTCAGACCAAAGTATTAGAACGTATACATATATGGGAGAATAAAATTTGGTAGTTTTACTGCTGTATGCAATTCTAATACAAGAAGTCAAAAACACAATTTTACCACTGAAATAATGTCATGGAGAGGTTAACACGATTCTCTAATTAAAATGCATTTTTTCAATACATTTTTTTTTTATATTTTTTGATCATTGTATGTAAGTGAAATATTTTCTATAAGTATAAAAGGCTTGTAATGATTTCAAAAGAACAGAACATTTTTCATCGCCAGCTGATATTCAGTGCCTCTTCTTTCCACTTCCGGCATTTGATTTTGAGGGAGCAGCAATAGCATTAGCAAAGAGTGCCACAATAAGCACCACAGAAATATGGGATCCATATTTTGACAGTAAACTCTGCATACAATGATATAGCTGATTGTCAGTTAAAGAGGAAGACCAAAATTTGTATCATTAAGGCAATAATATTTACTCATCATTACTATAAGGAAATACAGATTAATTTATTTAATAGAAATAAACATCACCTTAGCCTGCAGGCATGTCCCCACATATTGCAATTAGACATGAAAAGATGAAGCAAAAATCTTAGGAGTCTGAACGAGGAGACCATATTGAAGAAGGAAAAAACACATCTCTAGAAGGAAAAAACTTACCAATCCCAGTTTGGCTTCACCAACTTTTTCAGATAATATTTCTAATGGCAATATTGGAGTGGAGTATGCCTCCTACAATTAAGATATAAAGATGTTAGGAAATAATATTCTTCAAGAAAATAACGTTCTTAACAAGAATTGCACCAATAACTCCCACAGCTGCACATATGGTTCGAAGAATAAAAAACAAAGGGAATAGAAACATGACGGTATAAGAAAAAAATGACATAGAAATAGATGGTGACATGATCAGTGTCATAAATACACATACCAAAAAAAACATACTCCGTACATAATTAACTATGGCCATCAGTATTCTGAAACCCATCAAGCGCCCTGACTTCCACCTAATTGGCTTAATTAGGCAGCCAAACGCCTAAACACTAACCAGACAGATAAACTAATTAACTTGAGTAAATAAAGACTTTAACTAGTATGCAGCTGCATAACCTGCATTGATGCAGCAACTTAAACACTTATAGTGAAAGAGAAGGGATCATTTAACGCATGAGTGATAAATGGAAAAATAAAATTAATGTGCTGTCTAAGAGATGCAAACATGAGTTGAGGTGCGGAAAAAGTAACCTCCTGCTGGCTGTACTAAGTTAGTTAATTGTTATAATTGAATGCTTCAGACATGTACATATATGTCTCTATTCTCTACTATCTATTAGACTATTACACAAACAAAAGTGTCATTGATTGTAAGTTCTTATTGAACTCTGGAATTTTATCATATTGACATACTGACAATTTCTTTTTGAAATATGTAATCTTATCATTTTACATGACGCCTAGGCCTTACCGAGTTATCTACACATCCTAGGCATTATGCTGCGCCGAAATAGCACCAGTGAATTTTAGAACACTGATGATAGTAATACGAGCATGATATAGCATTGATAAATGATCTTAAGACAGTGCAATTAGCACAGCATGCAACACTCTATAGAGGCAAGAGGTCACAAACTCAAGTGTTAGGAATAGCCAATTGTCAAATAACAAGGAAAAATTTGCCCCCTAGGCCCCTACGGCCTACGCCCTTACACCCTTGTGATGAGACCCTTTCCCGGACCGTCGACTTGCGGGGATGCCAATGTATGCCGGGCTGCTCATTTAAATACCCTAAATTCAAAGGTCAATGAAAATATCTAATACCGGAAAGAGAGTGAAATAAGCATTCCAAAGCAGTAGCAATACATTATTCCATGAAATTTAATTCCACGAATGACAATAAGCGAAACCAGTGGCGGAACCAGAACAAAATTTGAGCAGGGGCTAAAAAAATTTTGAACCACTAGTTGGGAAGATTCATAATCTGTATCGTTTTAGGGTATATTTATGGTAATTTGATCTCAAATTACTATATAATATTATTTCCATTTGCATGAAGTAACACTTTATTTGTAACTATATATAATTCACACACAAGCGCACACATACATATACACATCAACTTAAATATCGACATTTATTCATTTGTATAACTGATTTGTTAGTGCCTAAACAAAATAATAGACTACATTTATTAAATGAGTTTATTTCGATTTAATACGCTTTCCCTTTTATTTTAGAATAAAAAGGTTTAAATAGAAATATAGCTAAACATGTAGAGGAAGATAAATTAATAACATACGGAGTATATATATAAGTTACTAACTTATCAAGAAAATAATAATTTTTTTCTCTTTTCAAATAGCATTACAAGTAGGTTATTTATTTTTTAAAAGGATATTTTATTTTTTGCAAAAGTATTACATGAATCTAATTATACTCATATAAAGTCAGATATTTCAAATATCAACAAGAAATTTTGGCATATTTGTACTAACCCAAGGAATAAATATAAAATTCAAGTAGTTTTGAAAAGTTTATTGATAAACTTTTTATAAAATGATATAGGTCAATGTTTGAAGGGGGGAAGCAATAGCTAAAAGTCATTTTTTGTTGTTCTTGTACTAAACAAAAATGTAAATAACATGTTAATATTCGAAAAAGTACAAAATACGGAGTAAATATTTTGAATTTGAAAAATAAAAATGCAACATAAAAGTAAAAGAAATGTGGTAGGAAAAATATTAAAACTAATAACATTCCAAAAGGTTAAGAGATAAGTAGAGGAAGAAGTGTAATGGAGTAAGTAATTAAAAAGAGAGATTGAGCAAGGATCGAACCCGGGTCTCCCTACAACTTTAAAACTGTTCAGCCATCTATGCTACTCCAACTATTGAGTTACACACGGGTCAGTTAGTACATATTATTATTGAGACGGGGCTGAGCATGTATATATACATATATATACACTAAAACCTCCGGCGAACAGGGGGCGGCAGCACCGGCTCGCTCCCCCCTAGTTCCGCCACTGAGCGAAACATTGGATGAAATATATAAATTTCCAGAAACCAGATCCTATTTCTAGCTAATTAATTCCATGAACAAAATTGACATCAACGTAGTTAAACAAACCTGCAGTTTTGACTTGCTTGCAACACGATATGTGATACGGGAAGGTGAGCCGTAATAAGTCATTTTCTTTCCGGATTCCAACTCAAAAGAGTGAGACACAGCAGAACCACTGGAATTTGTGTGTAAAAAGAACATATAATTGTTCAGAGACCAAAAAAATATTAGCACTATGGTCACATAAGCACTAATAATAAGTAAAGACTTGAGGATAAAGGAAATTAAATAACATCACACTTACGCATGAACCTTTTCCCATGACTTAGAGGTGTTGCCAGTCACAAAATAAAATACGCCCTGATCCCAACTATCGTCAGTAAGGGTTACATCATAAGCAGTTCTGCATATGGTGCAGTAAGTGGAATCAACAACAATTCAGTAAACTTAGACTAATGATCTGTATTTCCCAAGATCTTGAATGTGTATCCAGTTACTTTCTTATGTTGTATGCAGGTCTGTTTCAAAAAAGAATATTATGTTTTTCATCACATAGGGGGTGTCCAGATTGTCAAGTAAAATTTTAACACGATATGAGCATGGATATACATGCCAAGTAGAAACTGAGACTGCAGAAAATTGCCGACATTAAAATAATAGCACATGCGGCAGCTGGGTTATCCATTTGAATGATCAGACGAAAACTATGACTACGATTTATCACAAGACACATTGATAAATAATCATTTGTAAAGAGCATGCACGATGATCACCTTATGAAGTGAATTACTGAAGTCCAGTATACTTAATAATGACATGTACAGTCTACTGAGGGCAGATAAAAGTCATAAAACCATACATTTGTTTTCATTATCAATCACCGATCATCAGTAATTCACTAATCAAGATTAATTATATACTAATCCCATTCCAAAAACAAATTCCCCTAGATGTCGCAAAGTAAAATTCACAACTCCAAAAAAGGAATTTTTTAATCATCAATGTCACTGCTGCCTTACTTTTGCTTGATTTGACTAAAGTAAATACATACATGTGGAAAGTCATAACAAAATTTGTTCTCGCCTAAATATGTGTAGGTCAGGGAACTTCTGCAAAACTGAATGCAATTTAAAAACTAAAAAGCTTCCCGCTCACCGCATTTCGTCCAATTCAGATCGAATATTTTAAGTCAAAGAGTCCTTGGTTCTTTAATATACAGAAAATTCTACAAATCACAAGTCTCGCACATGTATAACAGACATTGAACTGAAGATGAAAATGTGCACGTAAAATGAGCGATAATGTACGTGAAACAAGATGTCCTCACCCAGATCCTTGGTTGTATACGTCAATGGTAACGGAGACGCGTTCAGTGCCGGAACTGAGCTTCGTAAGAGAGACTTTCTTGTGCGCCAAGATGAAAGGAGCTCCGGAGACAGCCTCCGATGCGACTGCAAATATAAAGAGCGTCGCCAATGCACCAGCTACAATCATTACCGCCGCCTGGGTGATCGTCGTCGACATATCTGTTCTCCGATTGAGATAGCGAGGGAGTCAAAGGCGGACGGACAAAGGGAGTCAGATTTGACTTGGGCTTAAGTATGCCCGGAATATCGTCATTATTGGGCCCTAAATGGGCCGGACAGGGCTTATATAATTTAGAATGATAATACTCTAAAAAGAGCCCGTTTGTTAATCTCTATTTTCACCTTATTAGTTTTATTGATCAATTTGTTTTATCAACAATTACAACAACATTCAAGCTTTAGTTTCAAAAGATTTTAGGATCAGCTAACATCAATCGATACATAATATCGCAACCAAAACGAAAAGAACTATAAGAAAGATAAGCTATGATAAAAAATAAAAAAGAGATATACATAAAAACGAAAGAATAAAAACGACAAAAACATATATATAATGATTAAAGAAGAAAGAAATGGAAGATGGGGGGAAAAGATGATAAGAGATCATTGCTCCATACGAATATCCCTCCACATGTAATTTTTTATTTCACACACTGAATTGTATAATAATCGAAATTAGTATGATCGATGTTACTTTTCAATTGATTGAAGTAATTATAAAAGATCGTTTTAACTATTTTCATATAACTTCTTTTATTTTATTAATAAAATATATTTTAAATATAATCATCTCATATTTAAACGAGTCAACTGTTTCGTCCAGAATTTCATCAATGTCAATAGATTCATCTAAATCGGCCAATTTGGTATTACCAAATGCACTCTAAATCTTCCTTTCACAATACTCTTCATGTTCCAAATATTATGTCAAGTTTGACTGGCGTGAAAAATAATAAATAATAAATTCTGTGACTGAGGTTTGCTTATAGAAGAGAGAAATTGCATAACCACATAATATAAGACAAAGTTATAAGGGTGTATAAGGAATATAATACGTTGGGTAAAAGTATCTAACATTGAGATCGATTCTCTAAGCCCAACATATGTTGTGCCTTACTCCAGCAAAAACTAATCTTATACGCTACTAAGGGAGAGTTTGGACTTTGGATATGATTTTTAAAACTGCTTCTACTCTTTCAAAGAGGGAACAGATCGAAGTTGGAGTGTTTGCGTGAAAGTGGAGAAGTACTTCTGATGCTCTAATTTACTCCTGGAAGCAATTTTTTAGAAGCTGGGGGAAAACCATCTTCTGAAAACTGATTGTAATTCAGTTTGTGCTTTAAAAAGAAGCAGAAGTAGAAGCAGTTCCAAACACCCCCGTAATCCACTCTATAAGGGGCGTCATAGTCCTTTCATACCTTGTAGGTTTACCAACTTTGATGTTTTAGTTGTCTCAATAACTTTGTTACTTTCCATTTTGAATTAATGAATTTGTAGTTCTTGTGAATTACTCTACATAAACTTTAACCACATTATTTTTACTTTATTATTCTATGTGCTAGTCAACTTTGACAAATTTATAAAGATGGGGGAATATACTAAAAACAAAGTTTTAAAATTAAATAATTTAAGAGTATACTTTCTGCCTACATTTTTATAGACATTTATATGTAGCATTTGAAAGCTTCAACATTCTTTTTCTTTTTGTAGTTTTTCCACTAAAACAACTTTTAACCAACTGTTCCGAAATTGCTCCAAACCCGAGTGAATAATGATGAAACAACTAATAACGTGAAGGCGGATAACACAGTTACGACTTACGAGCTTGTTAGCTGCATATGATGATGATTGATGAGCCATGTTTCATCGATGTAGAATCGTCACATTAGAAGTATTTAAACACTTTGGCTTACTTGTGCTTGCCATGGTCAAATTCATTTAGAGAGCTAATTATTTTAGTGCAATACTTCGTGAATCTCCACTATTTGAATATGAAACATCAATACAACGAATAGGAATAAAACGGCAATTAGAATCTATGTACACTACCTGGAACATTATACCAAAAGTGAGCATCTTGAAATGGGGCGGAAGGAGAAGAATATCTAGTGAGAGTTAGGGGTGGACCCAGGTCGGTCCGGTCGCGTTTCTTGTTCAAGACCACCCGGTCCTAGCATTTTTTTATATAGCCCGGGACCGACGCACTATTTTCCGGGTCTGGGCTGGTTCCGGACCGGGCCAGACAGCCAGACCGGGTCCAACCCTAATCTAGCCAAATTATCATCCTGGACCTTAAAAGTAAAAACAATACCCATGTCTTGTCTCTTAGCAATTTCATACATGTTACGGCGTATTACATAGATTTGATTAATCTTTTCAAATTGCATTTTCCCATTCAGGATAAATGACAGTCACATAAATCTCCCATCAAAAAATACAGTATGTGTATCCTTTTCAAGAACAACTGATATACAGTAGCACCTTAAAAGTTATACCAAATTGAAAACCCACTTTAACTTTTCTTCCAGAGAACTCTCAAATTATGCAAAATTGTTTGGACTGATATTTGACACTTCTGCAACGAAAAGGTTTACTTGCAAGCTGGATGGTGTGACTTGTGAGTATACAAATCTCGCAATTCGAATAATGCGTATGAAGATGTATACTACTAGACTTCCCATTCACCAACAATCACTTGAGGCTGCATAGCAAGCAGTGTGTATTACCTGGAAATCAGATTAAGCAAAATATAATGGATCACCTTGATGGGACTGCACAGAGTTGACCGTGCCCCGGATTATGCTCCAAGGGGTAGAAGATGGTGCCTTTTACGTATTTTTGGTGCTCTATAGCAGATTGTCTCACCAGCCTTGACATTTCTCTAACCTTTCCTTTCATTTGCTTTGCGATGATCGAACATGCAGCCAATGGATCCAAAGATCCACCACTAACCCTCCTACATGTTTACAAAAGATAGAGTAATATTTGACCAATGTATCGCTTCTACATATTGGTAAGGTACAAGTGTACAACTATCATACATCAAGAACCTATTTCTCATGTGTAACTTGTCTCTGGTTCCTCTTTTTGGCATTTTTTACAATGACATGAAAAATAAGCTGCCTTCTTTCTTTGGAGAAAACAGGAGTTTGAATCATGTCTCTATTTTTTGGAATTGAGAGAGTATTAAATGGATTGAAAATTGAGATATAAGCAGTTATGGTTGTAATCCATCACGGTTTGCACAAACTCTAAAGATTTAGTAGCAGTTAGAAGAAAGGCATTTCCAACTACCTTAATAATTTCTCCGATGCCACTCTGGCAGCCCTTATCAAGCTGCGGCTGGGTAACCACTCCACTACACGGTTTGGATCCACTCGCATGGGAGAATGTATTTTAATAAGCTTAAATTACAAAGGTAGAGAACGTCAACAATAAGGAAACCTGTACGTATTTCACATTCAACAGGCAACAAAGATATATAAGCCTCCTTTTGGAAACAGAATCCAAAGAGAGTGTTTGAATTATTAGTTGTAATGTAATATGTTCCTGATATGTTTAGAAAATCATACAAGAAGCACCATTTAATTGTCACATTTTGTCTAGCTTGAACCTTTCAGGGTCACGGACTGTGGGAAAATTCTAAGGCGCACATTACAAAATGCGGAAAGAAACTCATTTGGATCCCATGCAAGTTTACTGGGCCCCAAACACATTTATTTTCACATTTTATTAATGTGAGCACCTTTAAATGTGCCACATTGGGCTCCTTAGAACTCGCGGAATGGGTACGTAGTAGTAGTAGCATATGTACAATATGTTGAATATTTTAAAATGTCCAAATACAAATTGTAGCATACTTTGTATTGAATTATCACGCTTCTACATTTGTCACTGTACATTGCAATATCTGAGGGTTTTCATCCTACAATTCTTCACTAAAGTCCGCATTATGTTCTTGATAGACAGTGCTGCACAAAATAGCTTATGATCCATTTCCAAATATCATAATCTATAAACTTGTTAAATAAACATCCACTTCAATGTCAGAGGTTCTCTGAAAGAATCACTACACTTTTTTACACAGTTATAACTTATAAGGTTAGGATTCAGGACTAATTAATACCTCTAAAGGTTTTTTATCTTCAACCTCGCATAAATCTCAGAAATTACAATCAAATATTCAATAATGTTCAAAGCTGTACATACGTTTTACTAGGTCTTGAAATATATCATATTGTTATAAATAAAGCTTAGAAATCTAGAGCTCGTTTGGTAGCCCAGTTTTTCGGCTTATCAGGCTTATCAAACAACTTTTTCACCAAACACGTAATTTTTGATTTCACGCGCTGAATTGCGTAATAATAAGAAAAAGTAAGGTTAGAGTTACTTTTTTGGCTGTATTGGCTGACGTTACTGTAGAGAACCATTTTAGATATTTTTACATATAATTTTTTCTTTATTTTATTAATAAAATATATTTTAAATATATTTTTTAAAAAATCAACAAAATCAACCAATTCAGCCACTTCAGGCAGAACTTTATAAATTTCAGCAGAAACAGCCGATTTTGGCATTACCAAATGGGCTCCTAGTATGTTTTCATATTAATTATTGTATACGCTGAGAACGTAGCAAGTATAGTAATAATAATGTTAGATTTTCAAATGTACTACAAAGTTGATGAACTTGCAAGAGTTAACTGGTTCATTCTCCTCTACTTTTTCTTTGAAGGATAAATCTGAAGTGCGTGGTTCTTTATTCGATTCTCTTTTGCCATAAATTCAGTTCAGATATTTAATAATGGGGCCTAAAAGCCATGACAATCATTATGCAGCAGCCACAAGTTTCTTAACATATTAATAAAAAAAGTACATGGATAAAATAGTACTACCTCCGTCCCAAAATGATGGTCCTGTATTTCCTTTTTGGGATGTCCCAAAATGATGGTTCTGATTCCCTTTTTGAAAAAAAAAGATGTGGTCCATATCATTTCACTTTATTATACTCAAATCTCAACCACAACTTTTACCTTTTCAACCACTGTATTAAAACTTGTGCCCAAAAGAAATGAGACCATCAAATTGGGACGGAGGGAGTAGTAGGGAAAAAAACAATAAAAAATCATCGCAACTAAAAAAGGAAGTTGGAATCTTACCCCTAAGCATTCCATCATTTGATAGTAAGCTCTACCCTGCAGTGGGGTATGACCCTGCCGTGACTCTGAGAAATATCTCGTCCTGAGATGACAAAAGGACTTGATAAGTCCAATCTATATTTACTTTTAATAGCCTCCGTGTTGTACTGTTGTTGGCTAGTTAGTTTAAGGGTCAGTTTGCAACCCAGAAAATCATAATAGAAAGGAAAGTGAGGACACAAATTAGAATGAAAGGAAATGTGGGGGGGGGGGGGGGGGGTATTAAGACTGGGATACTAAAACAGGCAAAGTCTCTACAGTTTTTTTTAGATATTTGCAGATACTCGTTGGTTCTTTTTTTGAAAGATACTCATTGGATTTATTTATGTCGGTTACATAAAGATTAAGAAATCTAAATACATGCAAATTCTTAAAGTTGAATGAAACTATAGTTCGTTTTGATTTGCATAATATTTCAAGGTAAAATTAATCGTAAGAAATTATTTTCTCTAGCTTTTTTTTCCTTCAGCATTTTCTGAGGTCCAAACATGCCAAAAACTATAGAAGACAGAGAACAGAAGGTTATAGCAACCTTCACTTACCATTCTTTATATCCAGGATCAACAGTGAAACCATACATGTCCACTGATTCACAAATGGAAAGTGCAAATTCAAGGGCCTTTAATCCAGTTCCTTTTGCTGCTGAGCCAAAGGATGCACCCAGCATAAGGTATACAGGGTTGACAATGGGAACTTCCTACACAGTTTTTTAAAAAGAATACATATGTGAGGATACCAAATCATGTTCATAGTAATTTTCCAAGAACAACGATGTGCCAACACTTGGACTATGTTTGGAACACTTAGCTTAAAGACGTAATTTAAAGAGAAAATTAGCATAAAGTTGAACACTTCGTCACTAAAAGCCGGAGCCTAAGATATTACTTTGTTACTAGGCGGTTAGATATAGAAAAGTGACAAATGAAATTATCTTCTTAGAAGTTACATACTAGGATACAAGGTTTTATTTTTCTAAACAGGTTATTTTGGAAACAAATAAAAGCTTCAAAGAGTACATAAGAAAGTGTTGGCGATAAGTTTTGAACCTTATTTATTTTACCGAACAGAGCTTATAGTTCAATTATAGCTTAAAATAAGTTACTCCCTTCATTCCAAGCAAAGTCAAAAAATTGAAAAAGGGTTTGGATTGTTGTGGTTTGCCTAACAATTCTCAAGATCCGATCAAACAATAAATAATAGATGCACAGGAATACAAATGTAGGTGCTCAATACAGTAAGTAGTAACTATCAAATATCAATTACTCACCTCTTCAATGAAAAAAAGGAATTTCAGTCCCATCATTGTTCTTTATTCCACTCATCAATTTAAGATTATAAATAATTACCACATTGATTGAACACAAGAATAGGTGATTAGAAAGCCAGATGAAAGATAAGTATGAATAAATGTGTCTTATTGTTCACAAGCACATTCATAACAATGTCCACAGAGCTGGGTAGGAGGGGGGATTGGCAGCCAAGGGCAGTAATAAACAGCACCAAATAACACGTCTATGCAAAATATAACATGGATTATACATTTCATTATAGAATTGAAAGTATTTGAAACACTAGGAGAGATAGTGTCATGATAAAACAAAATATCCACTAAGCAAAATAGTACAAAACCATGTGTAATGTTATAACCTTTTGGAATTGAAGATATCAGAAATTGCCCCCAAATAGGATTGAACTTTACTTTATCACACTGGTTTCTATAGCACAGAGAGGAGGGTTACAATTTATTGTGTTCCATTTCTATTTTGAGAAACCTTAGAAATTGGAAGATCATGAAATTATGAGGCTTCAAAAGTTCAAAGGCACATGGTGGTAATTAATACTAACAATGATCAGGTGATCCACATGTCAAGATGTGGTTATACACATCATCACCGTCATCATGATAAAACATACACTAAAAAGTAGTGCATCCTAAAATTGCATGAAACCCATATTACGAATTTCAACCTAACCACCACTGCTAGCAATTTGTCCCACTAACTAGCAAAGAACACATAATCATGGCAGAACAAACCATGTTACATACTCGAATCATTTGGTTCATGATATCATGTACTGTTGTTTTTATGATCAAGGCCTCCTTACCAGCATCTGAATAATTAAGAAAAATATTTAGCATAGAGAAGCAAGGAACCAAAGTTAAAAACAAAGGAATGAGGCCAATACCGTACAACTCAGCTACTTTATCAAGAGCTTTAGCAGAACCCCTATTGAGAAGTCGGAATGTACTTTTTGAGCCCACATATTCAGTGTAGTTCTGTACAAATGGGAAAATTTATGGGATCACACAGACAAATAACTCTATATTAGCTACTTATTTCAAATTAGTACCTAATAAGGAAAGTTCAGATGAACAGCAGAGGAAAAGTAGGTCATCGGACCTGAATTGGAGCCCCATTCTCCCTGAAGACAGCATCATAGCTATCTATTTCCTTTCCAAACTTTGTTTTGAGAAGGTCACCTGAGTTACCAATTACAGCACATCGGTCATATTGCCTTGGAAAGAAGGGTGGTCTATCAGGGAGTACTAGAGACAGTTTCTCCACGCATAGAGTTTTATTCTCGCATCGGTTACTGCATAACAAATGTAGTGCATCTTCAAACTGAAAGCATTTTTTGATAAATTTATGACAAAAAAGGAAGCTTAAAACATAGGATAAATTGACTATATGTGTGCCTCTGGTTACTATGAGTGACAGAAAAAGGATTTAGTTTGAAATATGCTTACAGCTGTATGCCCTTGTTAATCCTTCTCCAGGCATAATCCTCCCATCCATTTGGCAGATTATCGATGTACTCTCTTGTCAGTACTGTAGTACTATTTCTCACCTGGTCAAGTCATTTCATTGTGGATTAAGTTGATTGTATTGCACTCACAATTCCAGAGGAATAAATATGCAGTTTATATGGTTCGTTTTATTTTGTCATTAAAACAATATTTAGATAAGATACATATGGAAGATAATTTCAGTTCATAAGACACAGTTGCCAGAGAATATATCATTAGGTAACAATGAAGAAAAAGATTGGCTTGTCTTGGCAATGACCCTGTCTCAGTTATGGAATTAAGTCCACTTTTAGTCCTATGATCATGTCAAGTCCACATCTTTCACTTTGTCCATTTTTTGTACTTGACTAATGTTTCTTGACCATTTGTGGTGCTTCTCCGGTGATTTTAACCACCGAAAACATTGCCGAAAGGACCATACATGGGCGAAACACAAAGGTCATGTACCAGAAGTAGTCAAAGACGTGGACCAATTGTGGAATTGGTGTGATACTCGTAGGACCAAAAGTGGAATTTATTCCTCAGTTACGTAACAAATTAGGTTTCAAGTTCTTGAAGAAAAAACCCAACCTGTTCCCATGTAGCTACAGCTTCACATAAGTTAATTGGATATGACAGTCCCTCAAGCTCTCCTGTTTTTGGATCTTTCTATTGAATTAGAGAAAATAAAGATAGACACAAATATGAGATATCACTAAAATACTCGGTTTATATCCTCTCAAGAGTGTAAATTTCGTAGGCAAAATACATGGAGGGGAACGAAGGAGAATATTAAATTCAAGAAAACATACCCACATTGGGACAGTTTCACTAGGAAACCTTAGCAAAACCTCACAATAATCACTTCCGACTACAGCTTGTAAACCTAATCCATTTACATTCTGCAGTGTGTTTAGCAGTAAGCAGAAAAATAAATGACAATCTGAAAAGGATGATACAATGACATAATGAAGGCATCCAAAAGAAAAAATTTCTAGTTAATTTCAATATTATGCATACAACATTTGCAGCTTCTTATACATAAAAGGAGCCTAGAGAGACCCACACAATAGCAAGCATAGTTTCCTGATGAGATCAGATTCCCAATCAAACAGTCCATTCAGCTTATTGGAGCATGCCTCAGGAATATTACATAAGTGTTTTTTGCAATATTGCTTAAACCGCATGGCGCCCATTAGGCTCTAGGCAACAACCTAGTGCCTGGTGCACCTACCTTATGTCCATAATCATTACCCCAATGCCGCAAAGGCTCCCACCTTCGGTGGGGTAAGGGCGCACCGCGCACCTATCTTATGTGATTAAGAAAAACACTACTATGACAAGACAGGTCTTATCAAATACCTATTTCAAAATTCAAAAAGCTATCTGATCAAGCGATTATAAAAAGGAAGTAGATTGTTGTACCTTATGTCCAATACTGCTATAAAAAATTAAAATTACAAAAAAGACTGTTGTGCAATAAATTTGTGGTTGAAGGAACCCAGGAGGACCTAACAGGGGCATAAAGGCACCTACTATACGCCACCTAGGTGCCTATCTGCACAGAAGCTAAGAAAGGTTGTCTTTGAAGTTTTCCATTCAGTCTAGGGGCACCTACGCGGCAACCTATGCAGATTTTTACAACACAGGTGATTTGTACCATTATGGTTTCCAGGTAAAGAACCCTTTGTTCATTTTACTTTATTTATTTACTCCTTACCTAGTTCCATATTCTTTGCATTATATTGTTATTAGTTCACATATATACTCTGGATAGTTTATTCCAACAATCAGTGTAATATTTTAATGTGAAACAGTCAAAACTAAATTTTTTAAGAATCTAGAAGGAAAAAATTCATTTTATGCAGCATTAGTTTGCCATATTATTTAGCATGTTTCACCTTCGAAAATATCATCTCACTCCATTCCTTGCAAAATATTGGAGTTCTGCAAAAGCAGTGTTCACACCGACGATGCGTACTTTAAAACTGCAATTAAGGAGTGCAGGTGGCCACATGAATGGTGTATCAAGTTAAGTGTAACAAAAACTGATGCACGAATCTGTCCAAAATGAACAATGTTGAACAAGCAAGGCATTCAGAGTGAGAGAACACTCAACTAATCCAAAGTGAAAAACTGCTTCACCATGTTGCACCTAGCATCACCCAAGCTTTTACTATGCAGTGTGAATATACAAGCGTGTGTCGATTGATTTTGTTGCATTTGTTACTGCATTGTATGTGTGACATGTGTCTAAGTACAGAAGTTTATTCTTGTTGTATAATAGATAGTATAATATTAACATCGTGTAGTTAGGTCAAATTGTTAAAAAAACGGGCACAATATACATCCATATGTATATTCCCTTACCAAGTTATCACCCACTTTAGGGATTGAAACAACTAGTGTGAACAAATAGCTTATCGTAATATGGTATATGATGGAACTAATGGAAGCTTCAATTCTGAGCTGCTAACGAGATACTCAATGGAAGTATTTGACATAATTTCAAACTGAATAGAAGTGTGGATGAGTTTTAAGAAGACTGGACACATTAACATTTATATTTTTAATTTGTATATCAGAATATATTATTAAGAGTGCCTAAATTTGTTAAAAGAAAGCCTGTGCATTATGTGTGCGTGTGTAAGTGTATAAAGAAAATGTCCCCTTCAGCAAAATTATGGGTCTGCCATCATGGTGTGCCACTATACACTAAAAATTCCCTTATTCTCTTACTAGTAAAAGCCAATTGCAATACAGACAGCATGATGGTACAGCAATGGAGGAATAAATCCTGTTCAAATGATCAGTATCATAATATTGGCACAGCTTTAAAACACATGCATTGTGAATAGAGAGCGAGAGCGAGAGGGAGAGCGAGAGCGAGAAGGGGGGCTTACCACACACTTCTGGAACCCACTCTGCAGAGACTGTAACGCTTCCAAATCGGCGCGAGAAAGATGGAATGCAGAATCTGCAGACATTTAATGATGATTCTCTAATTCATATAGAAACAAATTGATTGATTGATTCCATATAAGATGTGTGCACAAAGTCACACGCTCAGAGAGAGAGAGAGATGGATATCCGTACTGAAATTGGATAGGCCGGTGAGGTAGATGAGAATGGCAGCCAGTCCGGAGGCTAAGACAACTGCCAATGCCAACTTTAAGATCATCATGTTGCCCAGTGCAGAGGGCTCTGCAACAATTCCGATCAGACCTCTAAATCTTTCTCACTGTCCTCTTAACAATGTCGTCGTCTACAAAGTGAAGCCGAATTTTGGAGCCATATACCTTCTTCCCTTCATTTTGGTAATTTCGGTGAAATTAGGGAGTTCAGCTTAATGAGCATTAATTCACTTATCTAGAGCCCGTTTGGTAACCCCTTTTTCGGCTTATCAGGCTTATCAGCCAGTTTTTTAACCAAACACGTCATTTTTGATTTCGCGCGTTGGAGTTTGTAATAAGCTGAAAAAGTAAGGTTGAAGTTACTTTTCTGGCTGTTTTGGCTGAAGTTACTGTAGAGAATCATTTTAGCTATTTTTTCATATAATTTTTTATTTAATTTATTAGTAACAAATATTTTAAATATAATTTTTTCATGAATTAGCAGAATCAGCCAATACAGCCACTTCAGCCAGAACTTCATAAATTTCAGCAGAATCAGCCAATTCAGCTAATTTTAGTGTTACCAAACGGGCTCCTAGTAGAGCCGGCATTTTGAACAGAAAAACAAGAAACCGAATCGAAAATAACCGAACTCCCTATAGAAAAAAACTGAACCGGACCGAACTGAACGAAATTAGGACTCAATAATCGGGACCCAAAAAAAAATTGGTTCGGGTTCGGTTTATGTGCACAAAATATCAGTTCGAACCGACATTTTTATATTAATAATAATAATTGTTATTTATAATAATAATAATAATAATTAATGACGATTAATATAGGTATAATATAAACCCGAGTATGCTTTGAACATAGATGACGAGTAGCGGAGTTGGTCGGTCAGCTCGGGTAGATGACGGGTAGATAACCCCAGTGAAATGTCATGGGATCGATTCCCATCTGCGGGTCGATTCAGGTAGATGACGGGTAGATAACCCCAGCGAAATATCATGGGATCGATTCCCATCTGCGGTGGTAATGTTTTGTTTTTTTAGAAATTGGCTTCTTTCCTATTCTATTTCGTCCCACACACGAAAATGAGTAGCTTACTGCATAGTTCCAATGGGCTTTAGTCTATTCAATATTAGTTCAAATTTATTTATTGCAATTGAGTCAGTTTTTCGGTTTCCGGTAAACCGAATCGAAAAAATCGGGCACAAAAAATCGGTACCCGTTCTTATAACGGTTCGGTTTCGATTTTGATAATTTAGTAAACCGAAATATCTGGTCGGTTCGGGTTGATACTGAATCGGTTCGGGTCCCGAACCGAACCCAGTCCTGGTATTGAGCATGTCATCTATTCTACCCGGTAGTGAGACCTAAGGATGAACATATGATATGGCATTCATATCTTATGATTGACTATATTTTCTTATTTTTAAAACATCTACAATAAACATGTATGAATCCAAACATAAATTTGATGTAATATTATACTTTTGAAATATGCATGAATATGACATTTTAAAATGAGCTTACACCAATATCAAATTAGCGTACACGAATTACGAAATGAGCATCTGACAATTCAAAAAAGCTCATTTAAATCTCTACTATGCTCAACTTTTTATTTGTGTATACTCATTAGTAAAACTACGTGTATACTCCGTAAGAAAATGAAGAAAAGGAGAAACAAGAGCCAAATCTAGGGTTGAATGACCTTTCATCCCCGTCAATCACAAAATTCACCGTAGACCTCGATTGAGGGCTCCATCATCACAGATCAAAGAAGCGAGCGAAGCGATCCCTGTGGCGAGGAAGTGACGAACCACGCGAGCTGGGGAGAACTGGAGAAGAGATCCAGACAGTGCGAGGGAAGCCTCCTGAGGACGACGACTTGTGCTGCGCAGAGAACATGTTTGGTATCCAGATCATGTTTTGCTGTTTTAATCAAGCACATAAAAAAGGTTTAATTGCTTAATTTTCAATGACTTGCGAGTGTATTTGCAAGTCTTCCTTTTCAGGGACATGATTGCAAAACCGCAAATAGTTAGAGGGCTTATTTGCTTCTTTTCTATTTCTCTTTTAAACATCATACATGCTCTGTAAGGACGTGTTTACTTCGTTGCTAAAGTCACACTTAGGTTAGTAAAACATATGAAGTAAACACGTAACCTGCCTAAAAAGCTGCTTACTAACCGAAAGAGGTGCTTAAAATGTCGTTTGCTAAGCATACCACCTCATTAATTAATTAAGCGATAATTTAAGCTTTTTCTGTTTCCGAATTTACCCTCCCCCTACCCCTTATTGTTACCCCTACTACTACCCTACCCCTAACCTTACCTCTTCCCCACCTCGACCCCACCCCCTACCCGTACCCCTCACCCCACCCTACACAACCCATACCCCTAGTCCCCGCCCTGCCCTTCCCCTACACCCATACCCACATACCCTTACCTCCTACCCACACCTCCCTACCCCTAACTCGGCCCCTACCCGTAGCCTATTTACCACCATACCCCCCATGTCGGGTACCCCCTACCCCTACGGCCCTACCCTTACCCCGACCCTCGTACCCCTTACCCACCCACCACCAGACCTTTAACCCCCAACCTTGCCTACTCATACCCTACCCCTACCCATCCAAAACCCCTAACCTTGCCTACCCCTACCCCTACCACGACCCTACCCTACCTGACATGGGTAGGGGTTAAGGTTAATGAGGGTAGGGGGTACGAGCCTACTGGTCAAGGTAGGGGTATGGTAAGGGTGCGAGTATAAGGTAGGGGGTCAGGGATATGGGTAGCGTTAGGATAGGGGTAGGGGTAGGGTTGCGGGTGCGAGGTAGGGATACGGTTATAGGCATACAATGTGGCCCCCACATACTATATTATAGGGAAAAGTACATAAAATGTACTTGTCGTTTAAGCCGTTTTCGGTTAGGGACACATGTTTCATTTTTGAGAATATTACCCGAAATAGGACTAAAACGGTTTGAAAATTCCAAAACAGGACTGCCATGTTTTTATTCCCAAAATATGACTAATTATTGTCATGTTTTGGCAGTACGGGACTTCAAACATGCAGTATTTTCTAAACATGACAGTAATTCATCCTATTTTGGGAATAAAAAACATGACAGACCTATTTTGGAATTTTCAAACTGTTTTAGTCCTATTCCGAAATAGGACTAAAATAGTTTATAAAAATACTGCCATGTTTAAGTCTGGTATTGCAAAAACATGACAGTAATTAGTCTTATTTTGGGAATAAAAACACGAAAGTCCTATTTTAAAATTTTCAAACCTTTCTAGTCCTATTTCGGGTAATATCTCTTACTAATATCACTTTTCTGGTGGACTTTCTGGCGACAGGGTGGCTGGAAAGAAAAAAAGATATGGTGTGGAGGTCTTCTTGATGAGGCGCACCGCCCAGTATTTCTCTTTTATTTTTTCAGAGACTTTTGAAAATCGGAGTTAATTTTTCTAACGACGTTAGACGTCATGCCCCAACTGTGATAATGGAATTGAAACACATGTCTCACTTTGTTAAAAAATGAAACACATGCCCCTGTCTGAAAACGGCTCAAACCACATGTACCTTTTATGCACTTTTCCCTATATTATATATACTTGTGTACATGAATGTTTGTGGGCAGAGGCGGACCCACTAAGGGTCCCACGGGGTCCCGAGACACCGTGCACCTCGAAAAAATACCTATATATATTATATATATTATATAAAATTAATTATTCAATGTATATTTACACAAAAAACAACCTTAGAACCAAAAGAACGGAGCAGGGGAATGGGAGCACACGCCGAATCGAAAGTTTCTATGTTGTGGGAGGTACCACGTTCAAACCCCCCTTGGTTCATTTTTTGTTTTCCAAAACTATTTTAATTAAATAGACCAAAACTATGTCATTTTGGCCTATTTTTTTAAATTGCTGCCAATCCTTAAACGCAGAGGAGGAGCACTCGATCGATTCCAACTTTAGACCTACGCGGCTACGCCTCTGCACGAGAGTTCAACGTTCCGCCTCCAGCCCTCCAGCCCCCACTCCACGCCGCGTCGCCGCCGTAGGGTGTCATCAAAGACCACGCGACGGCGCCGCCGTGGGGTGTCGTCAAAGACCAGGCGACCACCAGCCACGCCCACCACTCCACGTCGCACGCCCACTCGCGCTGTCGCCTAGGTTTTTTTCTCTGCTGCTTTTCTTTGCATATCTTTTGTTAATGTTAGATTAAATTAATAAATTCATGTATTTATAAATGTTATTTTCAATTTTATACGATTTAGGATAAAAAGATAATTTGATGTTGTGCCCAAATTTAAAGAAACTCAGAGTACCGGGAGTAGTTCAGGTGTTAATTCAAATGATTCGTCATTAGTAAATGAAGAATTGGATCAAGTAATTGCTGAAAGTGAAGCTAATTTGGCTTATAATCTACCTGAACAACATGAGGATTTTGAATTTTTGGAAGTTGATCCTGGATTGAGAAAAAGAGTTGCTGATTTTCACCCTAATTTTCAAGACGAGGTACATCGTAGTTACATGTAATTTTTATATGTAATTTTTTGCTTTATAATATCTTAATGTTTTGATGGTGTACGTTAACTTTGGAGTGTTATGCTTCTTTAATATTTTTTATTAGTTTTATACTATGTATTAATTAGAGATTAGAGATATAAAAAGGGCAGGATCACGTGGCTCCGACTTTCTGGGTCCGACACTGTTTGTGGGTCTACATATATATAAGATTAATTTGGACATTTTAATGTTAAGCATTGTTTTAAATCCTTTGAAGCAAACATGAGCTTACAACATTGCTTATTTTATGTGTTGCTTATTAACGTGAGTCTTAATAAGCACCGTTTAGTACCCCGTGAACTAAACATGTCCTAATTGTTAAAAGTAATCCAAAAACTATTACGTGCGGAGTAGTGTCGTCGATTCGATCGAGCACATCCTTCTGGCTCTTTTTAATTTTTATGTTACAAAAACTTACAACAAGATATTACCGTTAAAGAAGTAAAGATAGGTGGATAAGAATGCTATTTTTGATACACACTTATTATGATAGAAACTTTGAAAATGCTAAAATAAAAGTAAAAACTTTTGGCATGTTTCCACAATATTAAACTTAAAACATGGCACTACTAGTAGGTATTTTTAAAGTTTAACAATAATTACTCCTATTTAGAGAATAGAAATCAAAG